CATTCTCCCATTCCCTGCTAAGAACCAGGTTGTTTGGGGGGTTTACGCCTTTCGGGGGGTCCCCCAGCACTGCGTCCCACGCCCGAGTTCGAAGCCCCAAAAGTTCCGGAATGCCTCCCCTGAGATCCCTGGCCTTCGGACTCACAAGGTTCGCAGCAAGCCCAATGCCCCCTAGGTGCAGGGATGCAATGAACCCCGAGGGGGCTCCTTTGAATAGTTATCTGCCCCTGATTCGGAAAAGGGAACTGGGCACTGTTTTGAGAACTGAGGGATCACGGGTCGGGTCACTAGATGTGCCAGTGGCATGTACCAGGCAGCTAGGTCTGGAGCTTCAGGGTTTGTTCTGCTCTTGGTTGAAAGAATAAGGTAGAACAGGGCATGAAAAGGCAGAATAATTAAGGCATAATTCGGCAGAACAATGCACGAAAAACAGATAAGGCATAAGAAGCTAGCATAGGCTTTAATAAGGTACAATGAGGTATAAGAAGGTCGAATCAGGTATGACATGGTATAGTATGGTAGATTGAGGTAGGATGAGGTAGAGTGAGGTAGAAGAAGGGATGAATCCAGGCGATTGCAAGGCCTTGATGCCTTTCTGCCATGGGTTTGCTTCGTCGTTTGTGCCAGGCAGGCGAAGTTCTACTATGACATGGCCCAGGACGCTGCCATCTGCCTGCGCTGACAAGAGTTCCCCGAATTTCTCCGCCTCTAGACCCTAAACCCGCCCCAGCATCTTCGAGAGCAAACTGAAGGATTGAGAAACGCACAGCCTTCCAAAGTGGGCAGCTTTAGGTTGCCCAGCGCCCCAAAAAGCCTAAACCCTTATTCCCAGTTTACCTGCGTGTTGTCAAGTCCTAAGCCCTCAACCCGGTACCTCCATCTGTCCGCGCTTGTCGCAGGAAGACTATGCGGTGCGGCGCCCAGGTTGGGGTTTGTCCGGTTTGTAAAAAACATGACAGGTGCCTACCAGGGGGGGTCACCCCCCACACTCCAGGGCCCCCAAACCGTCCCAAACCCCTTTCGCCACATGCAAAAAAAACGGCAAAAAACGGACCCCTCAGGATTGCAACCCACTCCAGACGAACTTCGCGCGCCTCTTCTGTGACATCCACTGTGTTCGCGACGCCGTTGTCCGTGGCGACCGGAGCATCATCCGGAATCTCAAGCAGGCCCGGTTTAGGGTTTAGGGTTTAGGGTTTAGGGTTTAGGGTTTAGGGTCCCCCCCGATGTCGGGATTGAGGGTCTCGATGGGTCTCGGAGTGCAATCTGTGATTCAGGTGCTTTGCGGTTGCCAGAGCTAGCGTGCCTCAGCAAGAAAGGGATTGCTGTTCCACCCTAAGCCAGAAGCCGAGAAACCCATGAAACCCCAAATCGTCCCCAAACCCTATAAAGACCCTCGATAAAACCTATATCAACCTATGAAAACCCTGTACAAACCTTATATAAATAGACCGGAAACTCCACAAAGCCCCTTATAAAGCTATGAAATAAAGCCTACATAAACCCTCTACAAACCCTATATAAACCCTGTATAAATCCTAGATAAACCCTATATAAACCCTATATAGACCCTCTACAAGCCCGACATAAACCCTACATATGAACTCTAAGTTGTCCCTCTCCTGGAAGGCCACAGATGCCCGGGACTCGGTGGTTTCCCTTTTCAGTTTAGCCCGGTGGCATCATCGCTTGCCCTTTTTTGGGGTTTAGGGTTTAGGGTTTAGGGGTTTCGGGGTTTAGGGTTTGTAGGGTTTAGGGTTTAGGGTTTAGGGTTTAGGGTTTAGGGTTTAGGGTTTAGGGTTTATCCAACAGGGTACCCTCATGATGCGATGGTTGCTGGGCGAGCAAGTTGATGGTAGGCAGCCCCCAGTTAGAAACAACCATACTACTTACGGTAGTATTCCTGATGGTTGCATGAATCCCCCCCCCCCCTTGAATGGACTCCTCATTTTTCATGCAGGAGGGGTTTCGAACCTCGCCCTAAGCCTCAGCCCAAAACCCCCAAAACCCCAAAATCCAAGCCCTAAACCCTCAACACCCTGCACTTTACAACCCCCAGTTTGCTTTGAGGGCCAGGAGGGTTTGGGGCCGGAGGGCTTGGGCGTTGCAACTTGAGGCTTTCCGGGTTTTAGGGTTTCGGGCTGAGAATGCTTCAAGACCTGCCTCCTAACCCTAAACCCCAAACCCTAAAGTCTAAACCTACAATCCTGAACACTAAGCCCCAACCTCCTGAGGAATCTGGGGCCCAAAGAGGGGATCTCAGACTTTGCGGGTTTTTGCTTCTCTGACCCTGGAGGGTTTTGGGTTTAGGGTTTGGGGTTTAGGATTTAGGGTTTAGGGTTTGGGGTTTAGGTTTTAGGGTTTAGGGTTTAGGGTTTAGGGTTTAGGGTTTAGCGTCGCACGGGGAGCAGAGGTGACGAACAAGAACCTGGACCAGCTCTCCTCCTGGATTGCAGCCCTCCTTGGAGAGGGCTTCGGGGCTTTTTAGGGGTTGAGGGTTTCTGTGTGCTTTTTAGGCCCTAAACCCCCAAACCCCTAAACCCTAAACCCCAAACCCTAAACCCTAAACCCTAAACCCTAAACCCTAAACCAGGGTTGATAGGGTTTAGGGAGTTGAGGGTTCTCTGGGCTTTTGAGCAGCTTCGCCAGTACAGGGGGGGGCCCGCGGTTCGGAGCAAGCAGATGAACCCTCTTTGAGCTTCGGCTTCAGGTAAAGGCCGCGCAGCAAGCCCCAAACGAAGCCAAACCCCAAACCCCAAACCCCAAACCCCAAACCCCAAACCCCAAACCCCAAACCCCAAACCCCAAACCTCAAACCCCAAACCCCAAACCCCAAACCCCAAACCCCAAACCCCAAACCCCAAACCCCAAACCCCACACCCCAAACCCCAAACCCCAAACCCCAAACCCCAAACCCCAAACCCTCAACAAACCCCAAACCCTAAACCCCAAACCCTGAAGACCACAGCCGAGGTCAAGTCTGCGCAGGTTGATGCCGGCTGGCTTGCTGACAAGCCCCGCGGCTGCAACACCACCATTTATAGGGGTTCTTAAGGGAGGGGGGGGGGGGGTCATGGGGGGTGTAGGGTTTAGGGTTTTGCGGGGTTCATGGGGGGTAGGTGCCTACTGTTGGGAACCTTAGGGAAGCTTCGGGCCGAGGGGGGGGGGGGGGGGGGGCGGTCATGTGTTTTTGTTGGACGATTGGCAACTTTTGCATCGCTTGCGCTGTGTGTACTATGTTGTATTGTTTGCAGTATCTGCCACGTTTTGTAGTGGTTGTAGCATGAGTATAACTACTCGTACTGGTAGGAGCAAGAGGCGGCCCTGGTGCTATTTGCGTGCCGGCTCTGTCTAAACCCTTGAAGCCCTAAACGACCCGATGGGCCCCATAAGTGAAGTCCCAAGAACAGGCCTGTGAGCCCTGTAAGTCCCCCGAAAACGGGAAAAAAACAAATCCCTATATTGCCATTATAAGGAAGAATCATTATTTCTATTTTTGTGGGTTCTTAAGCAAATAGTAGATTAGACCATAATTACTGATAGTATTCCCTTATGGTCGCTTGGCAATTATACTATAAATATAAGTAAATAACAATCTATATATGTATATATGTATATATGTATATATGTATATATGTATATATGTATATATGTATATATGTATATATGTATATATGTATATATGTATATATGTATATATGTATATATGTATATATGTATATATGTATATATGTATATATATATATATATATATATATCCATCACTAGATTCTTTTAATTGTACTGGTACTTCTGACACACTTATAAGCCCCTTAAGTGCCTTAATTTGGTTATAGTACAGTCAAAACTGGGGTTTAGGGCCTAGGGTTTAGGGTTTAGGGTTTAGGGTCTAGGGTCAAAGTACCACGAACCTCCAAGTACAGTCCCCCCCTACAGGATTGACTATGCAGCGGCCGTGAACAAGCGCGACTTCGAGAAGCTAATGTTGCCTGGCTCAGCTGGAAATGTGGGGGTCCCTTGCCCTAAACCCTAGACCCTGAACCCTAAACCCTAAACCCCAAAACCCTAGACCCTTTGTGCTATGTGTTCTTTACAAGGGGTGGCTGTTGGGGCTTTCCAAGCCGATCCGAAGCTTTCGCGCGGCCAGCGCCGGGGCTCCGGGATGAAGATGGGTTGCAGGGCAACCTGTCCGTGTTGGAGTTTCAAGGGTACTTCCAACCCCCAATCTAAAGTCTACTTATCACCTACTTCGAGGACTTGGGGGGGGCTTTACAGTTAATCGTTGGGGTTAGAAGTACCCATGAACATCCAAGAAGGCCCCTCAGAAGTCCCCCAGCTTTCGGCACTGAGTTCAGCTTCAACCCCGATAACGCCGAATTGCTCAACACACCTAGGCCCTAAACCCTAAACCCCAAACCCAAACCCGAAACCCTAAACCCCAAACCCCAAACCCTAAACCCTGAACCCTAGACACCCTAAACCCTAGACACCCTAAACCCTATACACCCTAAACCCTATACACCCCTAAGCCCAAAAAGAAGCCCTCCACAGGGAGCTCCTTGCCGGAGGGGATGAGAAGACCACCCTGGTGGCCATCCGTGCGGCCACCGAGCCCCGGCTGCCTTCCGGGTTGAAGGGTTTGGGGTTTGGTTGGGGTTTAGGGTTTAGGGTTTGGGGTCTTTAGGGTCTAGGGTTTAGGGTTTAGGGTTGAGGGTTTAGGGTTTAGGGTTTCAGGGTTTGGGGTTTTAGGGTTTAGGGTTTAGGGTTTAGGGTTTAGGGTTTAGGGCAACCCCAAACACTGGATCCCTACAAATTTGAGAGCCCTAAGCCCGAAGCCCGAAGCCCTAAGCCCGAAGCCCTAAGCTCGAACCCTAAACCCTAAGCCTAAACCCCAAAGCCATAGAACGCTTCCAATTCTCTCAGGAGACCATGAAGAGCGAGCTCTTGGGCCTGGCACAGGCCAGGCCGCCTGTTCCTTCCACAAGCAGACCTCACAACATAGTAGGGCTTCGGGTTTAGGGTTTAGGGTTAGGGTTTAAGGTGCAAAGATTCCCGCAAAATCGGGGCTTGGTATATCTAGGGGCCATACCTCTAGTTGCAAATAGAATACGACCCTGAAATTGGGCTGTTGCTGTGGCTAGTATCACCTTAGGCGGGTTACTACACTTAGCATAGTAAGGGAGCCCCTGCCTCCAAAACCCAAAAACCCTAACCTGCAAACCCTAAACCCCAAACCCAAAAAGCTCTAGACCCAAAAGCCCTAAACCCCAAAAACCCTAAACCAATAGACCCTAGACCCTAAACCCTAAACCCTAAACCCTAAACCCTAAACCTTAAGCTCTAAACCCTAAACCCTAAACCCTAAACCCTAAACTTTAAACCCTAGCACCCTAGCACCCTAAACCCCAAAGCCCGAAGCCATTTTGGCTCAAGCAATGCGCGTAGGACTTTCCCTGGCACCTTGCATCAAACTGGATTGCAGCATTACTTGCAGAAAAACTATATATATATATATATATATGTAAGTCAGCGTCATAGACTCCTCCTGGCAGCAGCTTTGGGGAGACTTCGCTATCTCCACGAGCCCTCGGTCAGTCTACGCAGTGCTCAGGAGGGCGAGCTGCGTGTCCGAGCCTGAGACCTCTCTCTTTTGCAGCCGGTCTTGGCCTTTGCAAGGAGTCCCTCCTGCATGCGCTTCGCCGCGCATGCCGCGCTTTTGATGATCCAGACGATCCAGATCAAGACAGCTCTGCACAGCAGCAAGCTGTCTTGATCATTGCCCTGGGCGCAGGACCGATCGAGCAGATCTTTACGGCAATCTCACGCCAAAATCTTAAACCTTTGCAGGAGCTGCGAGCGATCTCAAGCCCCAAATCTTGAACCTTTGCAGGAATTTCGAGCGATCCTCGGAAGGGTGCTTGTGGGGGCCTGAACAGGCATCCAGACTTGAGGGGTGTGGGAATGTGGAAGCACTACTATAACTTTATGACATCTTAAGGGCAACCCTTGTATAGTCGGAAAGTACAACTACAAGTCAAGATACGGCAGCGAGATTAGGCATCATTCCAGCACGATTCTAAGTGATGCGGGGCTGGGCGGGGTTTGGCTTGAGTCTCCTCTCGTCCGAAGAGAAGTACGATTCTAAGTCCGTTCTGGGGCTGGGTGGGGTTTGGTTGCGGGTAGGGTTGCAACCTCCTCTCCTCCTAGGAGAAGTACGATTCTACGTGCGATTTGCGGCTGGGCGGGGTTGGTTGGGGACAGGGCTTGAGTCCGAAGAGAAGTACGAATCTAAGTAGGATCTGGCCTGGGCGGGGTTTGGTTGGGGGGTAGGGAGTACTTCAAGCCAGACTTTTGCAAAGCTACAATCTAAACCCTAACCCTCCCTTAGCAGGCAGTACAAGTCACGCGCAGAAGGCCATCCAAACATGTCTCCGTGCCATTGTTCATAGCGTCAAGCCCGAAAACCGCCCAAGCGGTGTCAAGGTGGCGAGAGCGTTCCCACAGGCTTGGTGTCTACGGGCACGACGTAGGATTTTAAGTTACGAGCAAGGCGTCGTTGATGACTGCGGATCTGGCCTTTGGTGTAGCCCCCCTCATTGTGTGTTTAGTTTTTTTTTGCAAAGCGCGAGAGCGAGAGGGAGAGGGAGAGGGAGAGGGAGAGGGAGAGGGAGAGAGGGAGAGGGAGAGGGAGAGGGAGAGGGAGAGAGGGAGAGGGAGAGGGAGGGGAGGGAGAGAGAGGGGAGGGGAGGGAGAGGGAGAGAGAGAGAGAGAGAGCGAGAGCGAGAGAGAGAGCGAGAGCGAGAGTGAGAGGGAGAGGGGGAGGGTGAGGGTGAGGGTGAGGGCGAGGGTGTGAGGGTGAGGGTGTGAGGGTGAGGGCGAGGGTGAGGGCGAGGTTGGGTGAGGGTGAGGGTGAGGGCGAGGTGAGGGTGGTGAGGTGAGGGTGAGAGGGTGAGGGGGTGAGAGGGTGAGAGGGTGAGAGGGTGAGAGGGTGAGAGGGTGAGAGAGAGAGAGAGAGAGAGAGAGAGAGAGAGGGAGGGGGAGAGGGGGGGGGAGAGAGGGGCGAGCTCACTTGCCGTCATGGAAAATGAGTCTACGGCGGTCCTTGGCATGGGCGCCTGCCTCGCACCTGCCTTCTGCGGGACAGGTTCCTAGCAGGGCAACCAATGGGTGAAGATGCGTTGGATGGGAAAGAGGGAGGCATCGATTGAATTCTTCTTGTCCTTAGTTCTTTTTTGTCCTTGGCTTTCCGCTGCGACTTCCGACATTGTGCACACTTGCATTCGCGTGTGGAGTTTCATCGCGGGCCGCATCTGTTCCTGCTCATGGCTTGAACAAGCAGATTATGCGCATTACCCGCAAGAGCTGTCCGACAAGCTAATGAAACACTCCGTGCAGCTCAAAATCTAACAGCACGCATCGAGCCATCATTGCTTTCCACGGCGATGACAAATGCCATCGCCGAGAGAGAAAGAACGGGCGCGGACCTTAATTTTCACGTCGCAGACTGTTTGCTGCAACGGGCCTCCCCGCAAGGTTAAAGAAGGTGACCTTCGTGCTCCTGTCCGGTCAGAAGCGTCAAGTAGAGGTGGGGAGGAACTGTCCTTGATATTTCAATTCCAACTGAACCTTTAACAAGGCTCATTACAACTCACGCATGGTCAACGTGGCGAAGAAGGTCGCCGAAGAGTTGTGGGGAAAAGGCACGGGACTTAGTGCTCGATGACTTCTGAATTGCTCCCTTGGCCACCTGCGCCTGCCCTGCAAGGTGCTCGATGTAGAATCCTTTTCAAGAACCGGAGCTCTCGCCGAAAGCCTACGTGGCTGTTTACGCCAACGAGGAAGTGAACCTCGTGCGCCTCGCAGAGTCAAGAACTCAGAGAAAGGCTGGTGATTGACTACACCTTCCAGGTCGAGGGGGAGGGGAGAGGGGGGAGAGGGGGGAGAGGGGGGAGAGGGGGGAGAGGGGGGAGAGGGGGGAGAGGGGGGAGAGGGGGAGAGGGGGGAGAGGGGGGAGAGGGGGGAGAGGAGGGAGCAGAGGGAGAGTGGAGAAGAGGGGGGATAGGGAGGAGGGGGGAGAGGGGGGAGAGGGGGGAGAGCCAGGTCGTTAAATTTCTTCAATTGGCATTGTGAAAAGTGTTCACATTCGGCGACGTGGCAAGCCCAAGAAAAACCCTAAACCCTAAACCCTAAACCCTAAACCCTAAACCCTAAACCCTAAACCCTATACCCTAAACCCTAAACCCTAAACCCTAACCCCTAAACCCTAAACCCTGAACCCTCCTTCGCGTTGCTCGATGCCTGCAAGGTGAAAACCGTCACATCTTCGGCTTGTACGCCATACTACAGCAAGCCCTAAACCTTAAAGCCTAAACCCCAAGCCCCTCACCCTCAACCCTCAACCCTCAACCCGAAACCTGAACCCTAAACCCTATACCCTATACCCTGTACCCTGTACCCTTTACGCCCTAAACCCTAAACCCTAAGCCCTCGCAAGGCGGCCTCCTTCGGCACCGCCTCGGCTCTTACGGCCCGGGACGCCCTGCAGCGCTTCGCAGACCAGGCGCCTGTTCTCCAAGGCGCCTTTGGAGTTTAGGGCTTAGGGTTTAGGGGTTTAGGGTTTCGGGTTTTGGGTTGAAGGATCAAGATTTAGGGATCAGGGATTGGGGTTAAGGGTTTGGCTTCGAAATCCTCTGCCGAGCATGAACCCTGATGTAGGACATGTACTAGGTTTTAGGCGTTCAATCAGCCCCCACACCACCTAACCCCATACTGCCCTGGCAGCCTAAACCCCCTAAACCTAAAACTTCTAAAGCCCGAAACCCCTTAAACCCCTAAAGCGCCTAAAGTCCCTAAAGTCCTTAAAGGCCCCGACAACCCTAAACGTTTTAATCTTTACACCCAGAGCCCCAAAACTCCTAAGCCCGCATAGCCCTTGAACCGTGTACAGCCCCAAGTCCCAAACCCCAAAGCCCTCCCAAATGAAGAACACCTAACCTTCCTAACCCCCAAGCCTCCCCTTCCCCCCCCTCCAAAAGCAGGGGAAAGAAGCAAACCAGAAGCTCCCAAGCCCCGCACCACAAACCCGAAAACCCCTAAACAAAAGCCACGAGCCTTTAAACCCTAAGCTCCGGAACCCTCCACCCTAAGCCCAAAGCCCACTAAACACGGCCAAAGATCCCCGAAAGCCCCTGAGCCCCCTAAACCCCAAACTCCAAACTCCAAACTCCAAACCCCAAACCCCAGACCCCAAACCCCAAACCCTAAACCCCAAACCCTAAACAACCCTAAACCCTACACCCTAAACCCTAAACCCTGAACCCGAAACCCTAAACCCTAAACCCTAAGCCCTGGAGGTGCGGCCAATGCCTCGGACGCCATGAGATCCCTGCAGGCGCTCGCGACGCTGAGTGCCCGGCTTCACGGCGCGGCGCAAGGCCGTGGCTCGGTTTTGGGGGTTGGGGGGATGAGGGCTTGAGGGCTTGAGGGTTTGGGGGCTGGGGGTTTGGGGGGTTGAGGGCTTTGGTGGATGTGGTTTGGGTTGGGGTTTTGGGGTTTTGGGGTGGTTTTGGGGTGGTTTCGGGGTTTTGGGGTTTTGGGGTTTTGGGGTTTTGGGGTTTTGGGGGTTTGGGGGTTTGGGGGTTTGGGGGTTTCGGGGTTTCGGGGTTTGGGGGTTTGGGGGTTTGGGGGTTTGGGGGTTTGGGGTTTGGGGTTTGGGGTTTGGGGTTGAGGGTGTATGTGTCTGAGGGTTTCTGACTTTCCCCCTAAGCTTCGTTTGTTGCTCGCCTTGTGGTATCAGCTGCTCCGTAAACTCCTGGCACCTGTGGTTGCCCCCTACTAAAGCAGGCTGTTACCCTGCCAAAACGGTGCTAAACCTAGAGCCAGGCATCAAGACCCGCGAAGATCCCTCAACACTGAACCCCCAAACCCTCCAAACCCCCCCAAAACCTGCAAAAACCCTCTCAACCCTCGACCCCCCCCATCAGGCCCCTAAACCCTCAACCCAGAAGCCTAGGCTCCAAGATGGACCAGCTCGACACGCAGCTTACCAGTGGCATCGCCCACATGCAGGGGCTGGCGCGCCTGAATGCGAAGGCGGAGACGTGAGTGGGGTTTGGGGTTTCGGGTGTTTGGAGTTTAGGGGTGTTTGGGGTTTAGGGTGTTTAGGGGCCTGGGGCTCAGGGGTTGAGGGCTCCAGGGTCCAGGTTTGGGGGCTGAGGCTTAGGGATTCATTACGTGGAGGATACATCTGTCCCGGCTTTTGAACCTTGAGTCCCCCGAGCCCCAAGGCGCTGGGAGTCTACAAGCACTTCCTGAACGCCTCGAACCACGTGCACGACGGCAAGCGCTCGAAGGGGCTGCTACGGGCGCAGCACGAGGTGCTTGTGTCACTGGACAAGCGCCCCGCCCAAAAAGAGCTGCAATGTCATCGCCTCAACCTAAACCTTAGACCCCAAAACCAAAACAAAAAAACACAAACAAGGACACGTGCAGAAAGCCTGTGAGCCCTTGAATTGCTTAAGCCCCCCAAACCCCTACATCCCGAAGCCTTGCTACCATTCCTCCAACACCAGCCCTACATTATGGTACATCGTTTTGCTTGGGATGTTCCCCTTTTTATAGTAACAGTCCTTAGAAGGGATTATAGCAGTCATTATAGCACCCCCCCCACTATACTCCCGAGAAAGGGCTGTTAGGATAAGGGGGGAACATCCCAAGTTGTTGCTGTTAGAGAATCCCAAACCCTAAGCCCTAAACCCTAAACCCTAAACCCTAAACCCTAAACCCTAAACCCTAAACCCTAAACCCCAAACCCTAAACCCTAAACCCTAAACCCTAAACCCTAAACCCTAAACCCTAAACCCTAAGGATGCAAAAGTAGTTGGGGGATCTTGTCTGGCCCCACCGAGGATCTGGTGGTCCCTGCGCGGGAAGATGGACAAGTGTGGATCTCAAAAAGGGGGGGCCGGGCTGACCCTAAACCCCTAAACCCCTCACCCTTAAACCCCTAACCCCTAAACCCTAGCCCTAAACTCTAAACCCTAAACCCTAAACCCCAAACCCGAAACCCTAAACTCTGGGGTCTCAGGGCTCAGTGGGATGAGGGGGTTTCCGAAATTAGGGGCACCTTTTTTGGGGTCCATAATCATCAGGGAATCCGATTATTGGGGGTTTGTATTGGGGGTTCCTTCATTTTCGTGAACCACCATGAGGGAATTGGGTGCACACAGGCTTCGCAGTGTCGTACGGTTCAAGTGGTTTGCGGATTGCGCCCTTGTGGAGAAGTAAGGTTGACCTCGCAGGTTGGTGCATCTCCTGCACGCGCCCAGGTACTTCGATGCGGCGGACAAGGAAGTGAAGAGCTTCATGCCCCTCGGTCATTCGGATTTTTTTTTTTTTTGTTTTTGTGGGGGGGGGGGGGGTTTGGGGCTTCTGGCACTTCCTGGGGCAAGTGTTTTTGGGGTTTTCAGGCCTGCTGCATGGCGCTTGGCTTGTGTGGGGAGTCTACGAAGGTTTTCGGCATTCAGGGTGATCGCCGACACTTACCTTTCCGACACAAGCGGAGGGGATCGCGCGTCATCTTCAGCGGCTCATACAGTTGTGCCGACTCCGCACAGATCCTGGTAGCTTGGGCTTTGAACAGACCCCAGAACCCGAAACCCCAACTGAGGAGATCCCTGGCGATGATGCAGGACTATCAGCAGTGCCACTCAGGCCTGCCGCGGGTTTCTTTGGGTCTAGGGTTGAGGGTTTAGGGTTTGGGGTTTAGGGTTTGGGGTATAGGGCTCAAAGGTCAGCAGTGCACCTTCATCCATCCTTGTGGCACAGAGGCTACACCGACCTGCTTGCCACCTACAAGACGACAATGCGGGTGTCGGGCCGCACCCATGCGCTTCTACGGGACACGTGGCGCGAGTGCGACTTGACAGATGACAAGCACAGTTTCAGGTCTTGTGGTGGACCCTGTACCCGAAACCCTAAACCCTAAACCCTAAACCCTAAACCCTAAACCCTAAGCCCTTGACTAGAGATCCCAAAACTCCTTAACTTTGAGTGTGAGAAATGACCTCCGGCGGAAGCCTGTGCAGGCAGCAACCTCGTTGGAGAGCTTGCAGCCACTATAGGCGACAGTCACCTGGCCGCAGCAGCCCACGGTTGCTTCCGAGAAGCTGTTGGGATTGGGTGGGTTTATGGTCTCAGGCAGAACGAGGTGATAAGGCTGAGAAGGCTCCCTGAAATTGAGAACGCCCTCCACCCCCTCCCCCACTCGAAGTCAGGTGACGCCTTTACCACCTTTCTGGCAAAAGAGGGCTGCGCCTCCTCTTTGGCACTGCAAACAAGGCGCGGGGCCGAGGTCCTACGGGTAGCTGGGTGAGAGGTGCCTTGCGGATCTAGAGGTTATCCTTATATACCTAACCCTAAAAACCCTAAACCCTAAACCCTCAACCCCCTGTAGTCCCTTGAACTCCCATTGCCAAGCAGGAATCAAGCCCGCTTGGCGATGGCTGGCATGCGTGGCCAGGATGCAACACACAGGGTTTAGGGTTTAGGGTTTAGGAGGGGTCTATGAGAATGTGCAGCTTTATCCGTCTTGTCAGGGCGTTAGGTTTCAGGCGGGCTGAGGGGAACCGCTGTGAAGAAGTCTTGCCTGATTGGCTCAGCAATGTGGACAGGGTGGACTCGGTTGGGCTCCCTTCTTCCTCTCGCTCTCTGTTCTGTCTCTTCCTCTCCCTCCCCCTCTCCCTCGCCCTCTTCCTCGCTATCTTTCTCTCTCTCTCTCTCTCTCTCTCGCTCTCGCTCTCGCTCTCGCTCTCGCTCTGCACACTCTGCCCAACGCTTTGGGCTTCACACAGTGTTCGCATGGAACAGGATCAGGGCTGTGGAGCACTGAGGCCTTCTCTGGCACCGTTTTCAGGTGGCCGGACTTGGCAATCCCGATACAGATGTTCTGACTGCTGCAATGCAACGCCTCGAAGACAGCTACAGACACTTGGTGACAAAGCCTTGCCCAGAGGGTCCAAATACCCTTTCTTTATGGTTTTGAGTCCCCAAAAACCACAACTTGAAGGGTTTTTGGGCCGTAAGGCCATAAACATTCAGGGTATTTGGACCCGCTGGGTTGTATGGGATGTTTCCACATCTTTTTTGACAGAGAGGTCGGTCGGCTGGGTTGTTCATGGCTTGGGAGCATGATGCAGCTCCGTCGATTTCCCGCTAGCAACCTCAGCCATACCCATTTCTTTGTGGTACTTTACCGTAACTTTAGATCCTTACCTTTTTTTGGGTTTATTGGGTTTCTTAATAAGGCAGCTAAAAGTTTAATTTATAGCTACCCTCCTGAGTGCAGCCAAGATATTAACATGCTACTGCAAGCCCTGAAACCCATGGCATGCAGCACATTCGCGGGCTTGTGCAATGCGAGGTGAGGCGTTAGCCGCTCAGGGCTGCAAGAACTGAGTGGCCCCCCCCACACCTCTTGACTTGCTTGGGCAGAACGGCTCAGCTTGAAAAAAAGATGCATGCGACTTTGAGAGCATCGGCAACACCCTAACCCATGGTTTCATGGGTTATGGCTTCGAAAAACCCCTAAACCCAAAGCCCTGTTCGCCCAGCTTACTCTGAATCTAATGTCTGGACTCCAAAGCACCCAGGCAACGAAGCAAGAAGCTGCGGGGTTAGTTTTCAAGTAGCACCCCACCCCTCCCCCAAGTTTGTTGAAGGTTCAATGGTTGAGGGTTCAGAGGTCGTGGCTGACGTTAGCTCCCTGAAAGCAACAAACGCACCAAAACCTAACACCCCAAACCCTTAAACCCGAATTAAACACTACCCGGCTCTGAGCCCCCCACTCCTGAGAGCTGTGTGCTCCCCGTTTCGGGTTGTGGGCTCAGGTGGTTTCGATGGTGAGTGGTCCACATAGGTCGTTTTTGGACGAACACTCCAGACCCAAGCTAGTGGAGACCAGAGGAGTTTAGAGCTCAGGGGCCTTGGGGTTAGGTTGGGAGGTTCCCCCTTATACTAACAGTCCTTAATAGGGATTATATATGGGGGGGGGGGGGTACTATAATCCCCTATTAGCATAAGGGGGAACATCCCAAGGGTTCGGAGTCTTGGCCCCATGTGGACCCGAGCCCATGAATTGCACGATGCCTCGGGATCGAGCCTCCGGGCTGCCAGATGCGTTTGATTTGTCAGTCCGATTCCGAATTTCGGAGGCGGCCCATGCCTCCAAGAAACTGCGCCGGACTTGCGGTGAGCTTGTTCGGCGCCCTCGTGCTCCTCGCGGTTCTGCCCAGCCGCACCGGAGCCCTCGTGCACGCGAGCCAGGATGACGCGCAGCTGAAGAGCCGGCAGGGAATCGACTGGGGAAGGCAGAACAAGCTGCCGCCGTGGATGACCTCCATCACTGAGGGTGCAGATCAGGCAATCGCCGTGGTGCTCGGCCAGTCCCTGAAGCCCGATGGATCAGCGCCCCAAGTTCTGCTGGACCGGGCTGCGATGGCCAGGAAGCTGCTGAAACAGGGGACGGTCAAGAAAGTGATCGTGTCGGGTGGCGACCCAGCCGGGGTGGGTTTCACGGAGGCCTCCACCACTGCGCGAGTGCTGGTGAAGGCTGGGATTCCTTTGGAAGTGATTATCCAAGAGTCGCAGGCCACGACCACTGCGGAGAATGCCTGGTTTGTTCTTCGATGGATCCCGAAAGGGACTGGCCGGGTCTACATCGTCACCTCGGATTTCCATATGCCGCGTGCCACCTACATCTTCCAAGAGGTCCGGTGAGCCCACCTTGTGTGCTTCAGCCAGCCCTCTAACCCGCAATTCCCACGAAGCTTCCCAATTGGGGTTTCTGAACAGAAGGGTATTTTTCTAAAAGGGGATTCTATTCCATTTGGGGAATGAAAGGGGTCCCCCTATTTTCGCAAACCCCCCAAAACCACCTGGAAGCTACCGAACCCCAAGCCCTCAGTCCTGCCGGAAGGTCTTCAACCACTTCTATGCGATGATGGAGGAGACGTACAGGGATGATCCGCAGTGGAGCCTTGGCTTGGGCCAAGATGCCACTTGCTTGTGGTGTTTCGGCTTCAGGGCTTCGGTGGAACCGGAACTTGTGGGGGTTTGGGGATTTAGGGGTCGAACGGACTGGTTTGGCAGTTCACCCAAACCCCGGATTTTTAAGAGCTGAGCCTTAAGCACAACCCCAACCTGAACGCCTGAAGCCTTCAACCCTCCCCTCAACATCAAGCCGAGGACCCCCTCAACCCCATTCCTTTAAGAAGCTGAGAGCCCAGGACGAGCCCGTCCAAGAGATATCCCCGTCTGGAGCTCGTGCAGGCGAGAGTTCCTAAGCCCTACCAGTAGACCATAAGCCCCAAACTCAAAAGACACCTTCGGGTCTTCCCGAAACCTTCGGACGTTTCCCCGAGCTTCTGCCGGCCGACTTGTGTTAAGTCTTAACTGCAGTGCAAAATAGGTAGCAGGCACAATGCTTCTCGACGCAGGATCGGTTTTGGTTCATGGGGGGGGGAGGGGCGGTTGGGGGGGGGGGGGGGGGGGGGGGGCTCCGCGTTTGTTGTCCAGTTTTCAAACTAGCACCCCAAAGCCCTGAAGAACTACAAGTCCTAAACCCCATAACTTCCTGCGTTTCTGGTGAACAAGGGAGACAAGGGGAGACGGGTTGCGGGGACCAATGGTTCGGTTCTCATACTTGGGTTTGAGATTTGGGGTTTAGGGTCTAGGGTTTGGCGTTTAGGGTTTAGGGCATACCCCCCAAACGATAGTCCTTGATATGGGAAGGATCAATAAGCGGGCACATCCAGTTCCAAGTGCTCCACTGACTCCTTGTCGTCGCTAGTGCCAAACGCTGGGTCATTCCAGGCAACCCAGTGTCCTTCAAGGATTGTCCCTCAGCCCTTAACCCTAAACACCCCCCTAAACCCCAAAAGGGATCCTGGTTGTAAGTTAAGGCCTATTTCCGACTAAGGGGGAATTCTGGTCTGGGATTCGGGTTTGGTCCTCCCAGGCGCCACCAGGGTCTTCTGCATTGCTGTTAGCGAACTTCATTTCGGGTTTCCAGGCCATCCCACCCAAAACCCAAAACCCTAAACCCTAAACCCTAAACCCTAAACCCTAACCCCTAAGCCCAAAACCCTAAACCCTAAGCCCTAAGCCCCAAACCCTAAACCCTACATCCCCCTTCTCAGGCCCCTCGTGCTCTAAAGCCTGCGCCGCTGTGCAGGCTCCCACCGCAAGCTTCTGCGGCGCCAATGCGAGCCTGAGCCTGGCCTTCATCCTGGATTTTCTGGGTGCCGGTTATGCTTTGCTTTGTCTGTCTCTCCCTCTCTCTCACACATATATATGCATATACTTTTCTATGCGTGTGTGTGTATATATATATGTATACACATATGCGGACTTGATTTTTCAAAGATCCGGAGCCGCGGTCCGGTTTTTGGGGGATGCCAGGCCTTGGCTTAGGGTTCTTGTTTCGAGGCTTAAGTGGGGGCTTAGGGGTTTAGGGGTGGGAATTTCAGTTTGGGGGTGTAGGACGACTCCCGGCAATCCGATAGCCTTCGCACCCAGACCTGAGTTCAGGGATTGGGGTTTCGGTCTGTTGTAGAAGGACGATGAAAGGCGTTAGGGGTTCCAGACCCAGGTGGGTTCCTTACATAGCCCCTTGCTAAATCCTAAGCCCTGAGCCCGGTACCCTAAACCCTCAACCATATCCCCTGCTGAAACTGTCCGCTTTTTGGAGAGTTCCGTCTGCAGAAGCCCAGGAATCGTGACCACACGACTGGGGCAGAAACTCGCGTGCACTCGAGCCTTGAGGTTCAGGTTTAGGCCTAGACTCGGAGGGTTTAGGGTAAACCAGTGCTGTAGAGCATCGGGGAGGTACCCATAGGGGCGAGCCTGCAACCATCACTCGGCCAAGAGAGCTGAACTTGAATCTTGTGGGTTGTAGGCCCTACACTCCACAAGCTCCTGCCTTGCTAAGCACCCTGATCTCTTGGGAAAACCCCAAAATGCCCAACCAGAGTCCTCCCGAGGACATCAACGAGTTCTCCCTGGCGAAGCGCGCGCGGGACGAGCTGAAATTTCTGGGCTCAGGGGAGGTGAGCCGGTCGATGTATGGCCAGCCGCTGAGCAACATCCTGCCGCTTCGCGAGAAGGGTTTTGGAGGCATCGGGGGGTCTCAAAGCCATCTCAAAAGCCATCTCAAAAGCCATCTCAAAGCCATCTCAAAGCCATCTCAATGCCATCTCAAAGCTGCAGAGGCTTGGGGGTCTCTACCCTGTCGGTTGCAGTGTTGCGAACCAAGAATGAACTCTAGCTCTGGGCTCAGGGATGGGGGTTGTTCCATGCTGGGCTCCTTTTGCACGGGACCCTGGTTCAGAAGAGCGGAAGGCAGAAAGGCTCCTCCGCCCGGTCCCTCTGCCCCTAGTGGCACCTTCAAGAGCTCCCCGCGTATCAGACGCGGGCAAGTAGCCGCCACAGAGAACACGGCAGCCAACATGCAGCTACCCTTCGTACCGAGTTTAGTGCAAGAATTCCAGTTTGAGACTCCAAAGTCCTTGAGCCACTTTGTGGATCCAAGGTACATCTGGCCGATTCAGATCAACGTGACCAAGGACACACCGAAACCCCAACCTCTACACTAAATCCCAGAGTCCCAAATTCCGAAGCCCTAAGCTCCCTAAACCAAGGCCCAAGCCCCAAATGTCGAATCTCAACCCCCCCGCCCCCCAAATCACTGAAAACTCAGATGCCCACGACCCGACGAGCAAGTTTAAGAACCTCCCACTGTTCGGAGGGGCATTAGTAACCTGTGATTCCGTGGGGTCTCCACTATTTTGCTTAAGAACCCCAAAAGAAAAGATAAAAACTCCTATATTAACCTTAATAAGGAAGAATATTATATATATTTTTTCGGTGTTCTTAAGCAATTAGTAGGTCTAAAGGTGCCTTCAAGGCTTCAGAGGCTTCTTCTCCCCCCCGTCAGTTCAGGAGTCTCAAGCCCCCAAGAGCCGAAAGGCTCTCCTCCAAAACCCCAAACCCATCCCAACCAAGCCGAACGCTACAGCCCTGGACCCCTAAGCCCCCTAAAGCCGTAACACCCCCAGGGCCCCCCCTCCTCATTCCGACGAGGACCCCGAGAACGGTCCCAACTTCAAAGCCGCCATGGCCACCGCGATGAACACCGCCGAAGGCCTCTGCGAGTGCGTCTCCCCGCCACAAGAAGGCGGGGCTGGGGGTTGGGTTAGGGTTTAGGGTGTTTAGGGTTCGGGAGGGGTGTCTGGGGGCGGAATTGATTTCCAAATCCTTACACAATCTAGAATATATGATGAATCTGCAAAGATTTGAATACTGCTTTCTTATAGATTTGATTGGATGTTTTCTCATGCCTGAGGTTCACGGTTCTCAAATATTTCTAGAATCATCTCAAAACCAAGAATATCAAATTGATAAAATTGTCAGAAATATTTTCTGAGTTTATTTGAGTTCCTCGCATAAATTTGCTTTTACAATCTTTCTGAAGTAGGAACATTATTGGAAATTTACTCGTTTTGAGGGTTTAGGGTTTAGGGTTTCGGGTTTAGGCTGGGTTGGTTCGGGGGGGTGAGGTTTGGGTTGCGGGGGCTTTAGGCGGGCGGAAGGGGGGTTGAGGGGGTTGAGGGTTTAGGAGTTTTTAGGGGGTTCAGTGTAGGGCGTTTGGGTTCAGCGATGCTTACCGGGTGTAGGGTTTAGGGGGTTATGGGGCTGAGGAGTTTATTGGGCTTTAGGGTTCAGGGTCAATGCCGAAACTCCACAGCTTGTGAAGCCTGCAGAGGAAACTACTATACAGACTATACGCCTGAATTAAGCCCTTGGACTTTTGAGCCCTCAAAGCCAGATCGCCATAAAAGGTGGAGTGGAGCTTCCGTATCCTCTGCAGCTGCCTGTGCCGCAGCAGCGCCAGGGGTCGTCCGACTGGCGTGACATTTGCCCCGACATGATGGTCTAGGGTTCAGGATTAAAGTAGCAGGCAGGGTCTCGGGTTGTCTAGTCTAGGTAGGCTCGGCCCAAGACGTTCCATGGCCTCGGAAACACGAGTAGCCGAGGCTTTCCTATTGCTCTCGGTGCCATCTTATCCCCATTCGCAACGGTTCCCCCAGCCCCGTATGACCCGTAAAGGCACCAACCCCTAAACGCAACCGCAAGCATCCTCCCTCTCTGGGTGCCTTGATCGCCTGGGGATGAGACACGGCGCTGATAGCTTGCGCTTGAGTGGCTCCTCGCGATCAACAAAAAGAGGACTCGCGCGCACCCAGCCCTAAAGCCTCGACTTGCTTGGGGGAGTTCTGAGTGTTTCGGGCTTGATGTGAAAGTGGTCTCTCCGCAGACGCAGTCCTTCAGTCACCATCGTCCCGTTGATGGAGTGCTGGATGACCCATTCAGAAGGCTGGAGGCAGCCCCTCATTCCGACCGTTGGGGGTTCTGGGGAAACTCTGACTGCAATACTTTAAGATACTCTAAACCTAAATACTACGAACCCAGCAAGCCACACAAGCTACAGATAAGACAACGGTTCCGTACCAGTTCCACAGGGTTGGGAGATGAGGCAAGCACACCAGGGTCTCCAACCACAACGGCCAGTATGTGGCATCTCTTTCTTCTCACTTCTTTTGCAACGAGGTTCAGGGGTTGAGGGTCGCCCTGCTCATGATTAAACCCCAAACCCCAAACCCAAAACCCAAAACCCAAAAAATCCTAACCTGCAAGCCCTAAACCCTAAACCCTACATCCTACACCCCAAACCCTAGCCGAATGCCACGCACGCTCGGCTGCAGCTTGGCTCTTGGAGCCGTAATGTGCCGCCAAGCTTGAAACCGGCCCAGCAGAAGTCCCTTGGCACCCTGAGGGTTACGGTTTAGGGTTTAGGGTTTAGGGTTTAGGGTTTAGGGTTTAGGGTTTAGGGTTTAGGGTTTAGGGTTTAGGGTTTAGGGTTTAGGTTCAGGGTTTAGGGTTCAGGGGTTGGGGTTTAGGGTTCAGGGCGACAACATCCAAAAGTCAAGCCGAGCAATGGCGACTAATAATTAGCCAATAAGGGTAGACTGTGCAGGCTGGTTGCTTTGTCTCGCGTCGCCTGGTAGAAATATGCGTCGGGGATCCTGAAGGTGGGAGGATTCCACATCTTTGGACTGCGACCGCGGGGCAGTCCCGTGTCGTCTTGGAACGGTTGCTGTTTCGATTTTGCTTGGGGACTTGCTGCCAGCACGCACGCCCCGCGAGAGTGTCGTAAAAACCGAAAGCATCAGTGCTCGCAAGGTCTTGGAGCTCTTAAGCATTGATGTGTACTTCAGCGGACTGACGTGAGTTGAATCCAGTTTTAGGGTTTAGGCTTTAGGCTTAGGGCTACACGGGTTTAAGGGGGCATTGGGGTGTAGGCCCCTGGCGCCAGCCCCGCTCTCTAAACCTGTAAACTGTAAACCCTGAACCCTAAACCCTAAACCCTAAACCCTAAACCCTAAACCCTAAACCCTAAACCCTAAACCCTAAACCCTAAACCCTAAACCCTAAACCCTAAACGATTCGTTAGCAGCGAAGGTCCGAGGGATGGCTCCAGCTCTAGCACGCCCTGAGTCCGACGACTGCCTGACCTCGTTTGATGAGGCACCCCTTTAGGGTTAGGGTTTAGGGTTTAGGGTTCAGGGTTCAGGGTTTAGGGTTTAGGGTTTAGGGTTTAGGGTTGAGCGAGAGGATGCTGGGGGAGTTTGGGCCGAAGACCTGAGACAGCCTGAAGCCCTAAAGGCCTTTGAGACTACAAGAAGCCTAAAACCCTAAACCCTAAACCCTAAACCCTAAACCCTAAACCCTAAACCCTAAACCCTAAACCCTAAACCCTAAACCCTAAACCCTAAACCCTAAACCCTAAAGGCCTCTGAGACCACAAGAGGCCAGCTACGAGTTCTTTGGCGGCGGTGCCGACGAGTTTCACGCGGCCTACGAGGAGCTGGAGCAGCTGGGACAAGGCTGGGTGCTGAGCCGTGGAGAGTTTAGGGTTCAGGGTTTTAGGGTTTTAGGGTTTGGGTTCAGGGTTTTAGGGTTTTAGGGTTTTAGGGTGTTAGGGTTTTAGGGTTTTAGGGTGTTAGGGTTTTAGGGTTTTAGGGTTTTAGGGTGTTAGGGTTTTAGGGTTTTAGGGTTTTAGGGCGTTAGGGTTTTAGGGTTTTAGGGTTTTAGGGTTGTAGGGTTTTAGGGCTTTAGGGTTTATGGAGTTTAATATAGGTTGGGATGTTCCCCCCTATTCTAGCAGTCCTTAATAGGGATTCTAACGGGGTGTACTACCGTCGTCCCTATCAAGAACTGTTAGTACAGGGGTCTTACCCTTATGGTCCCTTGATCGTTATACTCTAGTGACCCCCAGTTACCGATAGTATTCCCTTATGGTCCCTTTGCAGTTATGCTACAATTACAATGACCCCCTAGTCTAATTATTCAGGGCCCCCATGCCTATATCAGTTCACGGGGTTTCTGGTACCCAGAGCAGGTCCTTATTCCCCGTTTGTTGGGGTTTAGGCTCCCTTAGAAGCCCTTCAAGCCAAATTGGGCACCCTTTTGCTTCCTGGGCTACCCTTGGGTCTAGGTTTAGGGTTCCGGGAGGTTCCCTTTCAGCTTTTTGCCCACCCCCGAAAGCATAAGGGGGCCTCACATTGGGGTTGGGATGTTGCCCCCTCCTCTCTGTCCCTATCGGGATTCTCGTACCCCCGATTAGAATCCCTATTAAGGAGTGTTAGACGTTCCTAAATCCGAAGCCCCAACAAGACTCCCCCCAAACCCTTTAAAACCACCCCAAGCCCGTAAACGCCCCAAGCGCTACAGCCCTAAACCCCAAACCCCAAACCCTAAGCCCTAAACCGTAAACCCTAAGCCTTAAACCATAAACCGATCTTGGAGGTGAGTTCGGCGTCGTGCGGCGTGCGTATCACCGAAAAACCGGGGTACAAGCTGCCGCTTCTGGGCCTGATAAATCGCCAAGCCCCAAACCCAAGCCTTTAGGCTTAGGGTTTAGGATTTAGGGTTTAGGGTTCAGGGTTCAGGGTTTAGGGTTTAGGGAAGGGGGGTCAGATCATAGGACGCCAGAAGCCTCCCTGGCCAAAGCACTACCTTGCAAGAGTCGAACACAGACAGCACTGGGGATTTTTGGGGTACCTTACACCCCGAACCCCCTAAATCCAGAAACCCTAAACCCTAAACCCTAAACCCTAAACCCTAAACCCTAAACCCTAAACCCTAAACCCTAAACCCTAAACCCTAAACCCTAAACCCTAAACCCTAAACCCTAAACCCTGAACCCTGAGCCCTAAACCCTAAACCCAAGCCCAAAACCCCAGACCTTTTTAGGGGGGAGGTCTGGGGACCCAACTGAATGAGGTCAAGCACTTGCCGAAGTCACCGAAGAGTCGGGCAGAGCTCGCGGCTTTGTCGCAGATGCGGCATGACACCCGGCTCGGAAGTTGTAAGGCTTAGGGTTTAGGGTTTAGGGTTTAGGGTTTAGGGTTTAGGGTTTAGGGTTTAGGGTTTAGGGTTAAGATGGAAGTTGGCCTAAGCCATTGAACCCCTAGACCCCTAACCGCCTAAACCCCATGACTACGAAGCGTTCCCCGCCCCCCCAAGAGTCCAAAGAAGGCCAGACTTCTGCTCCCGGGAAAGCAGACTTCACCTCCAAGGAAGGCCCTAAACCCTAAACCCTAAACCCGAAACCCTAAACCCTAAACCCTAAAGAGACAGCTTACTTCTAGAACCCGCAAGCCCTGAGCCCCGAAGGCGTTGGAGTTCATCCTGCTGGTCCTTCGAAAAGTTTAAGGGTTGAGGCTCTTAGGGTTTAGGGTTTAGGGTTTAGGGTTTAGGCTCTTGGGGTTTAGGAATTAGGGTTTAGGGTTTTGGGGAAGGTCCGAACCATGGAAGCTCAGCCAAGGAGAACATTGCAAGGCTGTATGCGTACTTCGAAGCTGACCAGGACGCAGCATCGGGGTTCATCCTCCAAATTCTATAGGCCCGAAACCCTAGACTCCTAGACCGTCGTTTTTAGGGTTTGGGGTTGTGCAGTTCTACTACTAGTTGCTCAAGACCCCCTCCCCAAAAAAAAGCAACTTATAAGGGTAGTACGTGGGTTCTTCTTATGCATCTTTGGGGGGCCTCTTAAGCAAATAGTAGTTATGTGGCATCCACGGCCCGTGTTATTCCTTATCCGACCTCTGGGAGTTACCATCTGGACGCTTGCTGTGACCTTCGCTGTTCGTCGGGCGTGAGAGTGCACAAAACCCTAGAACCCTGAACCCTGCACCCTAAACCCTAAACCCTAAGCCCTAAACCCTAAACCCTAAACCCTAAACCCTAAACCCTAAACCCTAAGCCCTAAATCCGAAAACCCCAAATGTAAACCTTCAGACCGCATCTTGGGAGTCGGCGGTTCGGACAGGTTCAACTTCTGCCAGCGCAATCTTCTGGGCTTAGGGTTTAGGGCTTAATTAGGGTTTAGGGTTTAGGGTTTAGGGTTTAGGGTTTAGGGTTTAGGGTTTAGGGTTTAGGGTTTAGGGTTTAGGGCAACTTCCTCAAAGACTGGTCCGGCTCCTGCCGATACTGCACGTTCTTCCACTCTGTGGAGGCACTACAGGAGCCAAAGTCGTTGCCACTATTCTTTGATTGAAGGGGCTAAAGGAAGGACCCTAAAAAGGGGACCTTAAGGGGTTATTTGGGGATTCTGGGGATTATTTAGGGGCTACTTCGGCTTTTGGGGGCTATATAAGGTATATATATAGGGGTCATATAGGGGAATAAGATGAAGGGTCCCCTCGATACCCCTTACTTGATACACCAAGCCACCTTGAGGTACTCAGGTCTTTCGTTTGTTGTTGCTTTGTCCTTGCTTCTTTTGTGTGTGAGTGTGTCTGCCTTTGCACGACGCTTTGCTTCATCATGCACATGTATTTGTTGCTTGTCTGCTTTTGTTGCTTGTCTGCGTGAGTTCCAATGTACTTTCAGTTCCTCCCACAACAGCTGGAGGTGCGCAAGGCTTCGTCCTTGGCCTCCTGAGGAAGTACCTCTTTTTTGAACAAACGTTTTGCTCATAGGCCTTGTGGGCCGTGGGCCTCAGCGGGCCATGGTGCTGTTGACCTCTGTTGGAGAATTCGGGTACTCTCTTGACTTTGTGTTTCCGGCTTTCTGTTGTCGTCTCTTCCTTATCCCCCGAAACCCTAAACCCTAAACCCTAAACCCTAAACCCTAAACCCTAAACCTTTAGGGCCCACAATTTTGACCCCCATCCCCCTGCCCCCGCGTCGCAGGAGCTCCTCCTTGTCATCGAGCTTTGTGATGTTGGGCTTCTGTCCGAGCTGCTGGTCAAGCGACAGCAGGTGGGCATCTAGGAGATTCAGGATTGAGGTGTGATTCTTTGGGTAGGGGCCTATGTATGTCATCAGAACGTCTATGTTGGGTCGTGTAAATTCGAGCTATGTAGGGGTCATAAGGGGAGAACCTACTTATTCAGGCGCCTATGTTGTGGCTGGTGTTTAGGCGGGCTCCCAGCTTAGTTACGGCAAGTTTGTGTCTTTTCCTTGGGCTGAGGGTGTAGGGAGGGCCAGTAGGTTTTCGTGTTTAGGGGTTTGGCATGCTATGGCATGCTTCACCTCCCCCCCACCCCTCCCCCCCTAAGTCACCTTGCATGGGGGCCCCCACAAGCCCTCCACCAGCCCGCGATGAAACTAGACATTCGACCCAATGCCTCAACTTACACGCCCCCAAGCCTGATCCTTAATGCCCCCTAATCTTATCGGCTCCTCTATCCTCCCTTATCCTCCCTTATTACAGGGGGGTTATGAGGAAGCGATTCTAGGCTAGTGGGTGGCCCACAGGGTCGCGCGCTTGGCAGCAGCGACGACTGCGTGTTGCTCATGCAGCAGCTTGGTCTGCACGAAGCACCAGCCGCAACCAAAACTGTTCTCCTTAGGAATTATGTCTTGGATTTCTGTGTCTCAAGCATGCGCGAACAACGCCTGGTTGTAGATAGTCTCGTGCCTGCAGGAATAGTCGGGAGCATGATTTCCCAGCACCCCCGACCCCCGCTCCGCACCCTGAGGCAGCTGCTCGCCGCACTCAGCCACTGCCACGACAGCGGTCGCATCCACAACGACCTGAAGTTCGACAACATCATGCCGCCCAGTTCCGGTTTAGGGTTGGCCTGAAGCCTGAAGCCTAAACCCTGAACCCTAAACCCTCGGCATATTGCTTTTTTCCCTGGTGGGCCCTAGACCCTGACGCACTTCGTCGGCATTTTGTTTTGTTTTGTTTTTTTTTTCCTTGGTGGGCCCTCAACCCTAACCCTGACGCACTTCGTCGGCATATTGTTTTATCCGGTCGGCCCGAAACCCTGACGCTCTTCGTCGGCACATTTTTTCTTGGGTACCATACTCTGAAAAATGAGCGCGTCACTTCTGCCACAAAAACTATGTTTAACACTCAGCTGGAATCGGCCACTTTTGGCCGAATCTTGGGGTCCCCCCCCCCCCAACAGGGGCTCCCGTTTACGGTCTTAGGGGCATATGGTATAGGGTTTTGAGCCCTACGGTTTGGGATATAGGGTTTGGATTTCTAGGGTTTGGGTCATAGAGTTTAGGGCCGCAGGGTTTGGGGCATAGGGTTTAGGGCCCTAGGGTTTGGGGCATGGAGTTTAATCCTGGGGTGCCCCCCACAGGGGGGGTCCTAAACCGCAGGGTTTAGGGCCCCAGGGGCATAGGGTTTAGGGGCTTGGGTTTATGGTCTATTGTGGGCCTTAGATCGCGGGTTTTGGTCCACTGTTTTTGAGCCTGGGAATGTATTGAGTGAACTTTATATTTTTCAATGTTATGGGATTCTTGGGTGGGTGGGTGTTTTTCCAATGCTTTGACAAGCTGCTTGACTAGTGAACGCTTGGACTTGAGATGCTGAACCCCAAACCCTAAACCCTAAACCCTAAGCCCTAAGCCCTAAACCCTAAACCCTAAACCCTAAACCCTAAAACCCTAAACCCTAAACCCTAAACCCTAAACCCTAAACCTTAAACCCTAAACCCTAAACCCTAAACCCTAAACCCTCAACCCTAAACCCCAAACCCTAGACCCTAAACCCTAAACCCGAAACCCTACATCCTAAAAGGGGGCCCCCAAGTTGGAGAGCCACGCGCTTTGGTCCTGGTCAAGCGAGGCTGGCGTCCGGCGCGAAGCAGCCTAAGCTGAAGCTGCCCTGACCCAGAATTTGGGTTTGGGGTTTGGGGTTTGGGGTTGAGGGTTTGGGGTTTAGGGTTTGCGGTTTGGGGTTTGCGGTTTGGGGTTTGGGGTTTGGGGTGTGGGGTTTGCGGTTTGCAGGGGGTTGGCTTGTGGAGGGTTCTTGGGGGCTTGCGGGGGTTTGCGTTGAATTATAACTATAAAAAAATCTAAATACGCGTACATAGACACTGCACCATATATATATATATATACATATGATATGCATTCTATTGTTCTTTTTTTTTTGGGGGGGGGGGGGGGGGGGGGGTGGGGGGGTGGGGGGTTTGCCTTTTAAATAAATTGAGGGCTTCGGGGTTCGGGGACTGTTTTGTTGTTTCTTGGCTTGGGGCTCCAGGGGCTTACTACTTGACTTTTCAGCAGAGGGTTGGAGCAGAAGTCGTGTTGAACGCGGATACACCTTTTATGTCATGTCTGCCAGGCAACCAGGAGCCCAGAAAATTCCTGAATTCAGAATTGCTTGCCAGAGGAGGGAATCCGACCTTCGCCATCTATCGCCCTCTAAAGCCCTCCCGAAACGCAGCTGGCTCGTAGCGGTTCGTAAATCATCCCAGGAGCCCTACTTGAAGGTTTATGACCCCAGTTACGGCCAAGCTTCCGAATCCTTTGTAGCCCTAAAACCCCAAAACCCTAAACCCCAAACCCAAAGCCCTAAAACCCTGAACCCTACACCCTAAGGCCCTAAACCCAGAGGCTGATCGACTTCGGAAACTCGCTTTCGCTGCATGAGGCGGGCAAGACGCCCTCGGAGGCTTGTCCGGCTTCAGGAACCCTCTTAGGGTCAGGGTTTAGGGTTTAGGGTTGAGGGTTGAGGGTTTAGGGTTGAGGGTTTAGGGTTTAGGGTTGAGTATCGAGGGTTTAGGGTTTAAAGTTTAGGGTTTAAAATGCCTGAAGCGCTCAGATCCGAAGCCTGAAGCCCTGAAGTTCTCAGAGCCGGAGGCTCCAAGCCCCGAAGCCGAGAGGGGCAGCTGAACCTCCCAATGCCTCCCAGCAAGGACACTGAGCCTGATGGGCCTCTGAACCATGAGCCTTCAGGTTTGCAGGGTTCAGGGTTCAGGGTTTAGGGTTTAGGGTTGAGGGTTTAGGGTTTAGGGTTTAGGGTTTCGGCATTTTGCGGTGCCGTTGGGGGTGGTTCCGGTGGGGCTGGGGAGAGATTGGCATTCCAGGGTGTAGGGCTTGGAGTTTCATCATCTAAAACATTGAAGGTGCACGTTGGGGCAAAACTAGGCGAACTGCCTCCGTGGCCCGAAGTCCAGGAGTCGTAACTTTAGCCATCCTAGAATCTCCTGTAGCTCATCAAACCCCAAACCCCAAACCCCAAACCCTAAACCCTAAACCCTAAACCCTAAACCCTAAACCCTAAACCCTAAACCCTAAACCCTAAACCCTAAACCCTAAACCCTAAACCCTAAACCATCAGCCCAGCCTTGCAAAGTCGTTCAAGCGCCCTGCGAACGTCAGAAAGCCCCTCTCGTATACCCGGACCCCGAAGTAAGGATGACATGTGGTTCGCCGGCCTGACCTTCTTCCAACTTGTTACAGGCCAGGCCGGGAAAAGAAGACTGCGCTTTGAAGCCCGTACCAGCAAACCCCGCCCCCCAACCCCCCCCCCCCCCCCCCCCCCCCCCCCCCCCCCCCCCCCACCCCAACCCCCGCCCCCCCCATCCCGCTTCTGCTCCATGCATGCCTCTCGCCTCCTCCTCGCCACACACCCTCAACTGCCCTCTGTGAGGATTGCCCTAAACCCGAAACACTAAAACCCTAAAACCCTAACACCCTAAAACCCTAAAACCCTAAAACCCTAACACCCTAAAACCCTAAAAACCTAAAACCCTAAAACCCTAAACCCTAAAACCCTAAAGCCCTAAAACCCTAAAACCCTAGAACCCTAAAACCCTAAAGCCCTAAAGCCCTAGAACCCTAGAACCCTAAAACCCTAAGCCTCTAAGCCTTGAGCCCTAAAACCTTAGAACCCTAAACCCTAAACCCTAAACCCTAAACCCAAAAAGGGGCCCCTTCGCCCTACAACCCCAAACCCCGGACCCAGCCCTAAGCCCTAAACTCTAAACCCTCAACCCCCTAAGCCCTAAACCCTAAGGCCTAAAACCCTAAAACCCTAAAACCCTAAAACCCTAAAACCCTACAACCCTAAACCCTAAACCCTAAACCCTAAACCCTAAACCCTAAACCCCCCTAAGCCCAAGAATCCAGGCCTTCCCTTCTTCCTGATGGACAGCGATGAGCTGGAGTCCTTGGATGAGCAGCTCGGCTCGGCTTTTCTCTCCCTGAAGTGTGGGAGTTTAGGGGTTTAGGGCTTTTGGGGTTTAGGGGCTTTAGGGGATTTAGGGGTTTAGGGTTTAGGGGTTTAGGGGTTGAGGGGTTTAGGGGTTTAAGGTTTGGGGTTTAGGGGTTTGGGGTTTAGGGTTTAGGGTTCTTGGGGCTTGGCCCTGGAACCAAACCATTTGCCCTGTACTCGCAATCAAGGAACATACCTTAGACTACAGGAGGACTCCTCACGAAGACTTAAGGTCTACTCCTTGCTTAACGTCGAGCTCTCTGCACAGTTTTCCAGGAAGGGCTCTCTGTTGCAATTGAAGATGCATTGGACTGTCTTGGTCAGGTGATCTATTCTTTGGGGCCTTAGTGGGGTTGTTGGGTAGGTTTAAGAGGATCTTCTTCAAACATGTCGCCCGGAGGGCTCAAGAAGGGCCAACCGAAGAGTCGGAGTTCTTGCAGCCAAGGCAGGGCGTCTACGTGGATCCGCAGAAGATGCAGTGCGATTCTATGCCCCGAGGTCAAACTTTTCTGTAAGGGCTTGAGGGCTTCGGGTTCCGGGTTTCTGGTTTTGAGGGTTGCAAACTCCCCTGTTGCCCCAAGGTACTTGCAGCTGCGCCTGTCGATTGCGAAGCGCTTCGCAAGCAGCCGCCTGCTGCACTGGGACATTACTGGTAGGCCTGGTAGGCTGAGATCCCCCACCCGAAAAACACCCAACACAGACGGAGGCTCAAATAACCTAGCTAGGATGGCCGCTGACCCGTACTCCCCTCTTTACAAGCATAGGCAGATCTTAAACAAATTGAAGACCCTAGACCGCTCGACCTAAGCTCTACAAGCCTAAGCCCAAAAGCCCATGGCTCCACGAACCCTAAGACCGATGCTTCAACGAACTGCTACCTTGGGCCTCGGTGGACAGGGGGCCCTGATTAAAGCCTCTGAGTTCTTAAGTTGCAGCCTTCTCCAAGTCGGCAGCGACGCCTTCGATGTCTCCCCTGCCCTCAACCCCCAGCCCCAAAACCCAAAACCCGACCCGAAACCTCCTAGGCATTGCCCTGGATCTCCTTGCCAAGATGTTGCAGTTGGACCGCACCGCGCGCAGCTTGGGCTTGACGAAGTCTCAGGCGAACCCGCGGCCCAAAGGCAGGACCCAGAGTGCAGGAGCCGAGATATCTGCCACCATCATCCCCCCCAAGAGAGTAAAAGCTAGGAGAGGACCCCTAAACCCTAAACCCTAAACCCTAAACCCTAAACCCTAAACCCTAAACCCTAAACCCTAAACCCTAAACCCTAAACCCTAAACCCTAAACCGCTCTCCTCTACTTCAGTGGACTCCCAGGCATAGCGGCAGCAGAGGCACTTGACCACCCGCTCCTCGGTGCGGCCTCGGGGTTTCAGACTTCAGGGTTTAGGGGGTTTAGGGTTTAGGGTTTAGGGCTTAGGGTTCAGGGTTTAGGGTTTAGGGTTTAGGGTTCAGGGTTTAGGGTTTAGGGTTTAGGGGTTGAGCCCAAAACCGTGAAGTTTGAGGTTTATCCGGAGGTTTATAGGGGTTTATCAGCATTGTAGGGGCATTCTAGGGTATCATAGGGGTTTTTAGGGTTTAGGGTTTTAAGGGTCACTCGCAGGTTTAGGGTTTGGGGCATTCATTTAAAAGGCGCAAGTGCGTGGGCGTTTTGGCCCTTTCTCTACAGGACAAAAAACACCCGAAGTGGCCCCTGACCGTAAAGAACCAGAATCCCGCACCCCAGTCGGCCCCCCAAGGTATTCTACCTTGGACCCCTAAGTAAGGTTGCGGCCTCAACGTTTTTGGGTGAGATGTTTTGGGATCCTTTCAAGGAACCCCCCCCCTAAAGCCAACCCTCAGACCTTGCAGTCTCGAGCTCTCAAGCCCCACTCGCCCAGGTTCTTCCTCACAGTCCGCCGTGCCGAGGCAGACCCGGAGGCCGGCTCTGACGCGGGCATGGCGGGTAGGGCGTCTAGGGTCTCCGAGTTTCGGGTTAAGAGTTTCGGGTTAAGGGGTCAGGGTTAAGGGTTTAGGGTCTCCGAGTTTAGGTTTCAGGGTTTAGGGTTTTCCTGTTAGGGTTCAGGGTTCAAGGTTATGTGATTTGGTTTGCCGGGTTGCGGGCATAGGACTGCGTGGAGTTGAGCCGAATGGAATAGGAAGCTAAACGTGGTCAAGCTGGTGCTATGCGCGAGACTCCATTGCTTTGTTTCAAGCCTTCATGACTCACCCTAAACATCCTTACTGGCTCAAAACCCAACTTTTCAACTTTTGGGCTTCTTACAAGGTAGCTTATTCTGAAAGTTTTAACTATTATTTCCTTGGGTTTTGGGCCAGTAAGCATCAAGCTCTAATATGTAATATGCTCTCATTTCTCCGTCCCCTGAACCCATCAGGGAGGTTCGTGGGTTGTTTTTGTTTACTTGTACGTCCGGCAGCTAAGGCAGAGGCGTAGCCCCTGCTTGTGACTACGCGCGAACCTCAAAGTAAGCAACTCTGCCAGAAGGAAGTGAAGGCCGACAAGGAGGGCCGCAAGGGAAGCCTCCAGAGCGTCGCCGGGGGGCCCAGTTTAGGGTTTAGGGGTTGAAGTAGGCTTCCTGTGTAAGAGACCGTATTTTCTCAAAGGCGGTCCGGGCACACAGGGTATAACTACAGGGGCACCGCAATGCAGAACAAGCCACACCCCACTTATGGTTTTCGGCCTGAGAGCGCTGTTGGGCTGAGGGAAATTTAAGGGACGAGGCCCATCTGTACCCTGTAAACCCTAGGCTCTCAAGCACGAAGCTGTTAAGCTAGGTATGGCTTCAACAACCCGAGGCCCTGCACCCCCAAAATCCCCCCCCCCCCCCCCCCCCCCCCCCCCCCCCCCCCCCCCCACCCCTGCCGCCCCCCATCCCCCTTCCCCCCGTCCCGCCCCGTCCCCCCATCAACCCCCATCCCCCCCCTCTCAACCCTAAACTCTCACACAAACCAAAACCAAAGGTTCAGCGTAGACGGAGATATGCCGAGGCGTCCACGGCGGCAACAGTGACGATGTGAGCGCGCAGGTGTGCTTTTGCAGGGTAAGTTTTATTTTTTTGTTTTTCCGGCTCGGGGGTTGCAGGGTTTGGGCTTTGCGTTTAGGGCCAGAGGGTTAGAGTTAGGCGCTACAAGGGCTACACTAGAGGTTCCGGTTGTGGGCTTCGCGAGAAGAGACAAATTTGAAGGCATGCAGATCTTGCAAGCAAGACATTAGCCGGACATTGGGACAAATGAATGCATACCCACAATTCATGATCGTACACCATGTGCGATCAGGGATCCCAGTGAGAGTGTATCTGAAATGAACTTGTCATGGTTTGTTTTGGCCATACCGGTCAGCAAGCCCACGGAATCCAGCTTTACAAGGATGTGGGCTCCTCCGCTTCGAGCAGGAAGCCTCAGCGGAGTGTAAAGAAAGTCGCAGATTCGTGCAGCGGTCTCAACCGTCAGTTGCGCTGCCTCACGAAACTCCGACTCCAAGCGTTGATCTGGGCCGAGTTCTTTGTGGTACTTTACTGTAACTTTAGGTCCTTACCTTTTTTGGCTTTATTGGGTTTCTTATTAAGGCAGCTAAAAGTTTAATTTATAGATACCCTCCTGAGTGCAGCCAAGAGTTGACCCCTGAAGCAAACTGGGCATGGCATACACAGGCACCAGAGCTTTCCCGCCCCCTCTGCGAAGAAGCCGTCTGGATCCCACGACCCCCCACTGGTCGCGCCAAATGAAGGCTCCTGCACCGGACCCTTAACGCAATAAATCTAACTTCAATGCTTACCTCAACCCCAACTCCCCACACCAAAACGGCCCAATATTTGAGATCCAAGCTCTGGAAGTACTTACAAGGTCGAACCCATGAACTATGCCGTAGACAGCGCTGCAGCCTTTGAAGAAGATTGTTCGTATGGGAACCCCCAGCAAGGGATCTGCAGAATAGAGCTGGTTTACACGGAGTGTCATGACCCCATATAAGTCATGCGCCTTATGGTGCTTGGGGGTTCCCCGTGGGCAGCGCAAGACACGGCTTCTACTCCGGGGAATGGGGAGGGGGTCTAGGATCTTCACGTTCCACCCCCTCCCCTCCCAATATTCCTTAAGGGGTAGGGTTCCCCTGTGTTCAAGAGGCTCCGCAACCAAACCCGAATTGAGAGTTGGGCTTGCTGAGCTCTCTTGCTGCGGAAGCCCTCGGGCCTAAAACCTTAAACCTCATGAGAACCAGCAAAAGTGCGCGACTTAAGCTAGGCAGCCGCAGGGCCCAAATGTAGGGGTCCCTTTAGATTGAGTTTTTGGAGAGTGTATACTCCAGCAGCTCATCTTGAGCTGTAAGAAAACATGTGTTGAAGCTCTACAGTACATCCTTTTGCAAGGAAAGAACCTTGGCAATGATTTCGGTTCCTGTCTTGTTAAGATGGGCGCCGCGAACGCTGCAGTAATTTTGACAGAGGCGGCCGAGGGCTTGTGCAGCTTGAATTTGAATGTGAATTCAGGCATCCCATGTATTTTATGATGTGCGTACATATTTTGTGGCCGTGGGGAAATAAATTGCCCCTCAGGCCAAGCATGTCATAAACTACGGCCGAGGGGTTACACCAAACGTCATTCCTGCTGCTCCATGATCCTGTAGGAATTTGGTACTGTTTAGGGTTTAGGGGTTTGGGGTTTGGGGTTTAGGGTTTAGGGTTTAGGGTTTAGGGTCGCTTACTTGGAGCCGGGCTTGTTTGGAGAGTCCCTTGGAATACCATCAAGTGTTTGGTTTCTTGAGCGCAACCTCGCGCGTTGTACAGCTCAGACGCAGTTTTCCCCTGGAAGTCGTCCGCTTCGCCAGGTGGACGCAATACACGAGACCAAACCCTCGTTTGTTCAGGGTTTTCTCGTGATGAAGAGTGAGCCTCCAAAACCTTCTAATTACCCTAAACCCTACAAGTCTCCAAAACTGAGCCGAAAGTAAAGCCCTAAGCAGAGACGCCTAAGCCTGCGACTCTAAACCGTACGTGAGAGCTCATGTTGTCAGGAACATCATGTGGTCGGGGTCGCCCTGACCGTAACCTGAAAGGTGACCGTAACTTCCAGAAAGCCTTCATCCCAGAACCCTACACCCCCTGAGCCCAAGCCCTAAGGGCTGGGCTGCAAACCCCTGCACCCTAAACCCTAAACCCTACACCCTAACCCCAAACCCTAAACTCTAAACCCAGAGCCTTACACCTCTTCAAAGCCAACCTTCACTCCGAACCCGCTTTCCCTTCTTTCCAAACCGCCCCCACCCGAAGCCCTCGTTTTGAATCTAAAGCTTCGGGGGTGCAATCCTTCTTTTCAGATCTTGAGACTTTTGCTCTATCTCTTGTTTGCAAGGGGGAGAGTTTAGGGTTTGGGGTTTGGGGTTTGGGGGTTTGGGGGTTTACGGTTTAGGCGTTAAGGTTCAAAAAGGCACACAGGATGAGCCCCAGGGTCTAGAAAAGCTCCAAAAAAATTGGCTCCGCATGTGCCCTCCGCTCCTTGGCTCCACAGTGCCCTCCACACCCCCCCCTCTTCCCCGAACTGCTGCTGCCGAGGCCCCGACCTCAGAAGGGCTCAGAGGGCCCCAGCCCAACATAGGGGTCGGAAGAGTTACCAATCATGTTCCCTCTGTGGTCCCTTTGAAACTATACCGTAGTAGCCCCCAAAACCCTATTCTAAGTTTTCAGGCCCCTATACTTTCTCCCGAGGCCTCATTCGAGCCTTGGACCCCTTAGGGAGTAAAGGGCCACGCCAAAAAACCGAAAGGGGCCACAGGAGGAGTTAAAGGGCCGCAGTAGTGGCTAACATTGCCCTGAAGCTGGGCTTGAGGTTGAGGACCTGGGCCCTCTGAACCCCCCAAATTCTTGGGCGCCTTAGGAGTCGAGAAGATGGCCAAGCACCTTGGGCTGCTCAGTGCCTTTCGCTTTCGGGTTGCGGGGTTTGCGGGCTTAGGGTTTGCTCGACACCTTCAGGCCTCAACCCCAAGACCCCTAGTTTTTGTCTTCAGGGACCTCCGGGAAAAAAAAAGTTTTGGGCTCTTGGTTGCAGGATTTCGCGTCATGGGGCTGAAGGATCTCAGCAAGAGCGCCCTCCTTAAGCAGCCGAGGCCACTGATGATCTTTCAGATCGGCACGAACAACTGGCAGCGCCAGGGCGAATTCGCGCCTGGCAGCGGCATCCTCCATGCCTCGTTTCACCAGACCATGCGCCCCGGCTTGGAGAGAGGTGGGCCGCGGAGTCAGGGTTAATGTGTTAGGCTTGAGTGAACGCCCCCCCCCCCCCCCAAAAAAAAAAAAACTAGTTAAAAAACAAACCTACTCCAATCAGGGTTTGGGATTGGGTCTTACAGGTATGGGTTGGTGGTTCCCAAAGCGTCTTGAGCTGGCTGGTGCACGATGGCCTTCTTGTTTTTCTTTCTGTTTTTTCGGGTTTGGGCTGCGAACCCCTCCCCTCCCCCCCTTCCCCCCCAAGCGGCAAAGGAATGGCATGGACGGAGTCAAGTGCTATTCCATCTACCCAAGCAAGGTGCAGACCAACCCGGAGGATGACGAAGCCCGGCGACATTTGGTGAGGTTCTTGTTGTCTGGGAAGATTTGTGTAGCGAGCGGATCTCCATTTTTTCCTCCTGGACGGTTTCATGGGGTTTGCCCCGAACCCTCATCCCCTCAACCCTAAACCGACTTAGGATACCTTCCGGGTGTTCAAGATCTCGCACGACATCCCCATCTGCGAGTCGGTGAGCCCAAACTCATCCTACAGATGGCACTCGATGGACGAGGCGCAGTACGAGGCGTATCTGCAGCGCCTCGAGAACGAGATCTGCGAGTTCATGGACGAGGCGGAAGCCAAGCAGGGGAAAGAGCTCCTTGGGTTCAGTGGAAGAGTACGAAAGAGGATCCGTTATGTGCTTCCCCTATTGGGTTTGAGAGGGTTCTATTCAGAGATATGTTTCAGAGGGTGTTCAAGTGCCATCCTAGAGTATGAAGTTCCAGGGGTTTCCATGGATGCTCTTCTAAGGCTCTTTAGGCTTCCGGGGGCGGCCTTTGGCTGGCAGGGTCGGCTCAAGCTATGGGCCACAGTTTGGGGTTTAGGGTTAGGGTTGAAGTAGGGTTTTGGGGTTAGGGGTTAGGGTTTAGGGTTTAGGGTTCGGGGTTTAGGGTTTAGGGTTTGGGGTTTAGGGTTTAGGGATTAGGGTTTAGGGTTTGCCCAAAACGCAGCCAAGGTTCGATTATCTCATCTCCCACCACGCCTTCACCAACGCTATGACGGCAGCTCGCATCGTCCAGAGGCGCCACAAGCAAGGCAAGACCAAGCTCGCGCACTTCAACTTCGTGCACGGAACCGCGCTGCAGCACGGCCTGGAGCCCGAAACCTAATCTAGGGGCCTTAATGATTAGAACAGAGTTTGGGGGTTCTTATAGTACATTGAAAAAGGGACCACAACGGATGCTATTAGTGATTCTTCCGACCACTAGATTAGAGACCTGCAAATCTCCTAAACCTCCAAGGCAAAAAAGTCCAAAGAGCCCGAAACCTTGATGATGTCGAAGGCCTGAAGCGCCAAGCACTCTCTTCCCCCCCAAAAAGATACCCAAGCTCTACAGCCCAAGTCCTTGTGTCGGCAGGCGGAGGACTGAATCCCTGAACCCCCAACGATTGCATTCTTCTTTAACTTGGGTTTGGGGTTTTTGGGGCTTCGTGCGGTGTAGACTTACTTGTGGGCTTAGGGTTGTGTGTAATTGGGTTTAGGGTCCAAATCCCTAAACGCTCAACCCTCAACCCTAAAACCTTCATTTCAGGAAGATGTACATCAAGGAGAAAGAGGGAGACCCCGAGTACCCGATGCGATTCCTGTCTGTGGCGCGCAAAAGCGGTGTCTTTGACGGTATCTCCGCCACACAGGGGGTGTGGGTGAACTCCGAGGAGAGGGTTTAGGGTTTAGGGTTTAGGGCTTAGGGCTTAGGGTTTAGGGTTTAGGGTTTAGGGTTTAGGGTTAGGGTTTAGGGTTTAGGGTTTAGGGTGTAGGGTTTATCAAGCCAAAAGACCTCAAGCAGGACTACATCGGCAAGTTCTTGGACTGCTTCCCGGAGTACCCCAAGCAGAAGTGCGTCTTCTCCCGGATCGGCGTGAACCAGAACATCTTCTGCCCCAGAAACACCCAGGTGGGTTTAGGGGTTAGGGGTTAGGGTTTAGGGTTAAAGGATTTAGGGTTTAAGGATGTAAGGGGAGGAGGAACGGCGGATGCTGCGACCCGTTATCAGGGTTTAGGGATCTCGGTTGTCAGGCCACAGACGGATTAAGTGCTTCTGGGGTGTTGTGGGGTTTCCCAGGTGGCGGTGGACCTCGCCAAGCACTTGCGCGATGAGGACGCCTTCTGTGGGAAGGGCTTTTAGGGCGGAACCCCCAAAAGCAAGGTTTAGGGTTTAGGGTTTAGGGTTTAGGGTTTAGGGTGTTTAGGGTGTATAGGGTTTATAGGGTTTATAGGGTTTATAGGGTTTATAGGGTTTATAGGGTTTATAGGGTTTATAGGGTTTATAGGGTTTATAGTTTTTTTTGTTTTTTTTTTTCAGGGTTCCCTGGGGCCCATCCAGCAACCCTGAACCTCAGGGGGTCGCTCCCGAGAGCTTAAGAAAGAGCGGGGACATGGAGATGCGAATCCGACCTTGCGCATCTCCTTTGCCCCAAAGTCTGTCTCATTTTCTCTGGTCGCGGCATCTACGCCCATGGCATGCAAGCCCTAAACCCTAAGCCCTAAGCCTAAACCCAAAACCTCAAACCCCAAACCCTAAACCCTGTGCCCTAGACCCCAATCTCAGCCCTCCCCTCCCCCCCCCCCCCCCCTGGAGGACAAGGCCAAGGTGGCCAGCATGAAGCGCCTCGTCACCTTCGTGGGCAAGCGCCTCGCCAGCCGAAGAGCCCCTTAAGCTCTCGCAACCCCGAAGCCTCCAGACCCTAAACCCCTTACTTAGGGTTTAGGGTTTAGGGTTTAGGGTTTAGGGTTTAGGGTTTAGGGTTTAGGGTTTTGGGTTTTGGGTTTTGGGTTTTGGGTTTTGGGTTTTGGGTTTTGGGTTTTGGGTCTAGGGCCCCTAAATCTGGCACAGCTCTCAGAAGGATCCAAGTGCAGTTCCAGGAACATTCCGAAATTGGCGTTTCCGAAAACTCTCGGAATCCCCGCAACGGAAGCCTGTGGGTTTATGAGGTTTTTTTGGCAGACGAGCTGTGCCCCCAACAGCAGAAAGCATGTAAGAGAATCCTGGCAACCGCGTTAGGAGGTGCCTGGCCTCCAGAACCCCAAACACAAGAACCTTATGAAAGAAAACCCAGAACATATTTTGCGTATTGACATATGCTCATCAGTGAAGAATATAAGATATCTTTCATATTTGTTTTCATATTCGTGCGTTATGCATTTATAGAAATGAACAACCTTGAAGTTCGACATATCTTGGGGGGAGGTTCGCGGATTGGAAGCGCCTGGATGCTGTCCTGTACGCTGCCCAGGAGCTGGGCGTACACAGGGCGTGGGGGTGATTGAGGGTCAGAGCACTAAACCCTAAACCCTAAACCCCAAACCCTAAACCCTAAACCCCAAACCCTAAACCCTAAACCCTAAACCCTAAACCCCTTAGCTTTAGAGCCTGGGTCTTGCACTGTTGGCCTGGCTGCTGATTCACCACAACCCCCCCCCCCCCCGGCCCCCGCCCCCCGGGAGAAAACAAAAAAACAACTTGAAACCCTAGACTCTGTAGGTTCAAGCTGCGGGGTTTTGGACCGGGCTTTTAACTTCACATCGCAGTGTGGCTTGCCTCCGCCACTCCACCACTCAACCCTAAACTTACCATGAGGGGGGAGAAGGTTTAGGGTATAGGATTTAGGGTTTAGGGTTCCCCCCCCCCCCCCCCCCCCCGCCCTTGTGGGAAGGCAGCCGGCCAAAAGAACAACTAAACCGCATTGAGGAACACGTGTGGAAGCTGCTCCACTTTTTGGAAAAGCAACTGCAAGAGAGTCTGTCCCCCCAAAGGAAAGAAAGAGCAACCTCACCACGCATCCCCCCCCCCCCCCCCCCCCCTCAAAAAAAGGGGCAAAATCAATATATGTATATATATATACACATATATATAGCAAATCAAAATAGAAAAAATGTATCCTCCCTGCGTCAGCGCAGGAATACGAGGCCAAGTACCCGGACCTGGGTACGGCGGTGGTGGGCACCGGCCCCCCCGAGGCTGCAGCGATTTGGGTTTCGGGGCTGAGGCTGATGACTGTAGGGCTGCCACTTAGTTAACTCCCAAGAGTATGTAGCCCTTGGTGCAGTGTAGGGCTTATGGCTTCGGTTCTCTTATGCAACCTACTTGTACGTAAACGACAAGGCGATCCAGCTGTACGAGGGCCTTGCCAAAAGTCTCGGCCTTCAGCGGACCGTTTTTTTGGGGCCAAAGAGCACCTCGGCGACGGGTTACCCTTGGAGATGTGCAGATTTGCTGTAGTGAGCTTGCTGATGAGTATGCGGGAATCTCATCGCATGATGGCTTCTGCGTTGATGTCACTGGGAAGCCTGTAAACCCCGACCCTGTAAAATAAATCAACAACAGCAGGGAAGGGCACCTTTTGACTGACGAAACCAGGGTCTGCCATAAACCCGAAGCCCTAAGCCCTAAAACCCTAAAAAGGTTGTCCGTTGGTAAAGACCCTGCTGAGGCCAGGACGTGCTGGCGGAGCTCTTCTCCATGTCGGAAGTGGGCATGTTCCCTTCCTACAAGGCGCCCTCAACCTTTGGTGTCTCCTACGATCATCCATCGCATGAGCAGGCTTAACAACAAATCTCTGTCTGAGCACTAGACGTGGTTTTGGGATGAGATGGGAAGAAAGGTATCTACACATTACATATACATCTATATACACAGAATGAGACGCACACGTGTATATATATATATATATATGTATTTATTTGTATATGTATACATACATACATATATATATATATATATAATATCTATGGGTATCTCGATAGATCGGTAGAATCCTTTGAGCACGAGTTGGTTCGACCCCTACGCCACGCCCCTACTGGAAACCTTGAGCGAGGGGGGAGGGGGGGGGCTTTAAAACCTTCAGTGGAGGCCTCGATCTATCAAAACCAAAAATGGATTAAACAACCAAAAAAGCAAACAACCGGTAGGGGTTCAGACTATGGTCTGGGGGGCGGGGGGGGGGCGGGGCTAGGGAGGTTTCTGAAGGCAAGGCTCCTAGACCTCGAAAACCTCAAATCTTAAAACTAAAACCCTAAACCCTGCCTAGACCGAATGGTGGAAGAAGGCGACAACCCCAAGGTTAAGTCACTGCTTCACCGCTGAAGGACGAAAACGCCCCGCCTGGAGCGAGTTCAGCTTCAAAAAAACACACCCTGGACCCTATCAATCTGACAAAAGCCCTAAAAAAACCCTAAACCCTCAACCCTAAACCCTAAACTAAGACCCCAAGACCCTCCTCCTCCTCCTCTTCAGGAGCCGTTCGGCATGGTCTTCATCGAGTGCATGGCCTGCGGCACGCCGACCATCGGGGCGAACAGCGGGGGCCCCACGGAGCCCCGGCACTGGAACCTGCGATGTTGGCCTCTTTGGCCTAGTGTTTATGTGGATATATATATATATATGCGTATGTGTGAAACAAACACTGTGTGTATGTATGTATGTATGTCTGTCTGTATGTATGTCTGTATGTATGTATGTATGTATGTATGTATGTATGTATGTATGTATGTATGTATGTATGTATGTATGTATGATTGTATTGTATTGTATTGTATTGTATTGTATTGTATTGTATTGTATTGTATTGTATTGTATTGTATTGTATTGTATTGTATTGTATTGTATTGTATTGTATTGTATTGTATTGTATTGTATTGTATTGTATTGTATTGTATTGTATTGTATTGCATGCATGCATGGATGTATGTATGTATGTATGTGGAAAAAGCGAAATTTTGACGCTACGCGACCGGCCTCGGCCGGGGCCTGCCGCCACTGCAGCGGCGAGGCCAAGGCCGGCACGACGGGCTTCCGTTTTTTCCTCCAAGTGGAAGGGAAGAAAGGGTTTAGGGTTTAGGGTTTAGGGTTTAGGGTTTCGGGTTTAGGGTTTAGGGGTTTAGGGGTTTAGGGGTTTAGGGTTTAGGGTTTAGAGTTTAGGGTTTAGGGTTTAGGGTTCAGGGTTTAGGGTTTAGGGTTTAGGGTTTAGGGCGGCAGGGAAGAAAGGGCAACCGGCGAGGCAGAGAAGTGCAACCCCCCCCCCCCCCCCCCCGTAGGGTAGACCCTTTGCAGGCCCCGGAGCCCAGAGCCGGGTTTGGGGTTGAGGGTTTCGGGTTTAGGGTTAGGTTGAGGTGTTTAAGGTTCAGGGGTTTGGGAGTAGTGTTGCAGGTTCCCGCCAGGGCGTTTCAAACCCACCCCAAGTACCCTGAGTACCTAAGTATCTTACAGCCCTACAGCCCTGATACCCGGAGCTTCCAACTCTGCTAGAGCTCCCCTGCTTGAGCTCAGGAGTTCGTGAAGCCTGAGCAAGGGGTTCTTGTGGAGGACCCCTGGCTGCCTTTGTATGCACAAGGTCTGGGGGATTCGGCCGTGGGTGTTAGGGTTTTCGCGTCTGAGGGTCTTGCGTTTAGGATTTAGGGTTTCCGGACCCCCTACCCAAAGTAGCTAAGCCGAGCTCTCAAAGCCCTGAGCCCCCAAAACCCAAAAACCTTCAAACCTCAGCCCCGAGCCCTGTGACCCCTGAATTCGGGCCCCAAAGCCCCTCAGCTCAACTGCCTCCCCCCACAAGCCTCTTAAGTTACAAGCCTCAAGACCTCGTGAGCCCTCGAAGCCTCGCAAGGCCCTGAGCCTAAACGCTAAACCCTAAACCCTGAACCCTAAACCCTAAACCCTAAACCCTAAACCCTAAACCCTGAACCCTGAACCCTGAACCCTAAACCCTAAACCCACAAAATGTGGGGCCCGAACGCCCTCAGCCACCCAACTGGGCCCTGTAAGGGTTCGGGGCTTACTTCGGGCTCAGGGGTGCAGGAACTCAGGGTTTAGGGTTCTGGGTTTAAACCTTATAAACCCTAAACCCTAACAACCCTGAACCCTTGACCCCAAACCCTAAACCCTAAATCCCAAAACCCCAAACCCTAAACCCGAAACCCTAAACCCTAAACCCTAAACCCTAAACCCTAACCAGGAAGAGGCGGACTGGCGGTCTCAGGAGGGGGCGAAGAGGCTGGGATCCAAGGTGGCGGGCCAGGCGGGACGGTCCGGAGGGTTTAGGGTTTAGGGTTTAGGGTTTAGGGTTTAGGGTTTAGGGTTTAGGGTTCGGAGGGTTTTTGCGGAGTCTCTTTTTGGGGCTTTAGGGTTTAGGGTGTTTGGGTGTTTGGGTGTTTGGGTGTTTGGGTGTTTGGGTGTTTGGGTGTTTGGGTGTTTGGGTGTTTGGGTGTTTGGGTGTTTGGGTGTTTGGGTGTTTGGGTGTTTGGGTGTTTGGGTGTTTGGGTGTTTGGGTGTTTGGGTGTTTGTTTGGGTGTTTGGGTGTTTGGGTGTTTGGGTGTTTGGGTGTTTGGGTGTTTGGGTGTTTGGGTGTTTGGGTGTTTGAAACCCTAAACCTACACCCTAAAGCTCTGAGCCCCAAACCTCCAAACGGGCTACAAGCTGCATGTTTTGGGGCGGGGGCGGGGGGGGGGGTTTGGGGGGGGTTCAAGCTTTCGATGTTCCACATGTTGCGGGCTTAGAAAAGGATCTTTAGGGTTTATGGCTTGAGCCGTGTTAAGGTCTAGGGCGTCCACAGCCTGAATCACAGGAAGCCTACGCCGTCCTAAAGCCCGTTTTAGTCCCCATAGGCCCCATAGGAAAGCAATGTTTAGAAAAGGGACTGCTGCCGGCCCCCAAACCGAAACCCTACAGCCCTAAAGCCCTCGAACCCAAAACCCCAAACCCCACGCTCTAAAGCCTAAACCCTAAAGCCCAAAAGCCCGAAATCCCGCGAGAGGTTTCAAAGGCTCTCCAGGAAGGGTGGAAAGCTGCCCGTGGAAAGTCCTGCCAGCCTGGCGAGCTTTGAGGGAAGTTCGAGGGTTCAGGGCTTGGGGGGGGGGGGTTCGCCACTAAACCCTAAACCCTAAAAGCGTAAACCCTCAACCCTAAAACCCTAAACCCCAGAGCCAAAACTCTAAACCCTAAGCCCTAAGCCCTAAAATCCTAAACCAAAAGCTCTAACCTCTGGACGCTGCTCCAAAGCCTGGGTTCAGCTCACAACCCCGGAATCCTGCAAAGCCTGCATCCTTGCCCCCCCCCCCCCCCCCCCCCCCCCCCGAAGCCCCAATCCCCACAACACACTGTAGTGCCTAAACTAAACCCTAAACCCTAAACCCTAACCCCTAAACCCTAAACCCTAAACCCTAAACCCTAAACCCTAAACCCTAAACCCTAAACCCTAAACCCTAAACCCTAAACCCTAAACCCTACACCCTAAACCCTAAACCCTAAACCCTAAACCCTAAACCCTAAACCCCAGACCCTAAACCCGAAATCCCAAACCCTAAACTTGAGATTGCCTGCTCGGGCAACCTCTAGGAACGGTCACCATGTTTTCTTTTTCAATGTCTCTGTTGTGGTTCTGCTCTGTACCGTTTCTGTGATTTGCCTGTGATTTGCCAGATGCTTGTTTCGGGCTACACCCCTGGACATGGACGTATCGAAGGGCTGTCCCTAGCTTAGGGACCCTTAACCCTCACCCTCTACCCTTCGCCATAGTTGGGCGACACTCTCCCAACCATGAACTAATGCAAGCCCATGGACCGGAAGCCCAAACCCTACAACCCTCGTGGGCCCCAAGGCCCCCCAAGGCCCCAAGCCCCACGAGCTCAAGACAGTCTGAGGAGCTAGCCCGAAGCCCTCAACCCCAAAACCCTAAACCGTAAACTCCAAACCCTAAACCCGAAACCCCAAACCCCAAACCCTAAACCCCTAAAGCCTAACCCTAAACCCTGAGCCCCTCACACGCCTTGAGGTGTGGACTTCGTCACCCAGAACTTCTCAACTCGATCCCAGGTGCAGGGCATGCGCCCTGGAGCTGTTTAACTAGGTTAGTTAAGTTAAGTTTAACTAGGAGTTAAGGGTTGAGGGTTGAGGGTTCAGTAGTATTCCCGTATGGTCCCTATGTAATCATACTATAATATCCCCACAAAAGAACCCTATTCCAATTACTCAGGCCCTTACATTATCGGCGCATTTGCTTGCTGCGTTTGCTGTTTTCAGGGTTTTTGGAGCTTCAGGGGCTTCTTGGCTAGGCAGGCTTTTGGCTTTTGGGTTTCGGGTTGAGGGGCCCTAAGCCCCCAACCCTAAACCCTGAATCCTAAACCCAAAGCCCTATTTGGAGTTTAGGCTACGGGTGTCTGGGACTGGCAGCGGACCTCTGAAAACATCCATTGTCCACCCGAAGCCCTGACACAGCCAAGCAGCCCTAAACCCTAAACCCCAAACCCCAAACCCCAAACCCGAAACCCCAGACCCTAAACCCTAAACCCTAAACCCTAAACCCTAAACCCTAAACCCTAAACCCTAAACCCTAAACCCTAAACCCTAAACCCTAAACCCTATGCCCGAAACCCGAAATGGGCTTGAACCTTGTCAGGATGGGGGAGCTTCAAGGGTTCCAGGGCTTTAAGGGTACAGAGCCTCAAAGTTCTGCCCAACCCCCAAACCCCAAACCCCAAACCCCGAACCCCGAACCCCGAACCCCGAACCCCGAACCCCGAACCCTGAACCCCAAACTCCAAACCCCAAACCTCGAACCCCAAACCCCGAACCCTGAACCCCAAACTCCAAACCCCAAACCCCCTAAACCCTAAACCCCGAAACCCCAAACCCCTACACCCTAAGCGTCTCGGAACTACCACGTCCCTCACGGCCCAGGTTGGCGAACATGCAGGAGTGGTCGACCAGTGCGGAGGTCTCCAAGTGCTCCTCGGCATGGGGTTGATGTGGCCCTAAAGGCCTTAAACCAGAAGCCCCCCCCCCCTAGTCGGCACATCGGATGCACGATTCTGGGTAGAAAAGTGGCCCGTTTGGTGTTCGGAAGAATCTCGGCGCAAGAGAGAGAGGGCGGGAGAGCGAGAGAGAGAGAGGCCGCGGGAAAAGGCTGCTGGTTCAGGGCGGTAACAGCCTCACAAATCCAACAAGAAGTCTCATGCCCCTCACAGGCTTCAACAAGTCTGCCATGGGTGCGAAGATGCTACCCAAGAGCCAGATTATGCTCGTGCGCCTCGGCAAAAGCCGAAATCCAGTTAGTTGCCCAGAAACACCCTAAACCCTAAACCCTAACCCTAAACCCTAAGCCCTCAGCCCTAAACCCTAAACCCTGAACCCTCTTGAATCCTCAGCCTTATAGGAGTCCTGCACCTACCAAAGCCCTGAACCCTTTAAATCTTAGGGACAAACGACCCCCAAATCCCCATCTCCAAGCCCCAAGCCCCAACGCCCAATCCCCAACAGAACGATGATCATTCCCCCGCCAAAACCTGAGCCCTACAACCCCGAAAACCCCAAAGCCTCAACCCTGAGCCCTAAGCCCTAAACCCTAAACCCTACCTAAACCCTAAACCCTGAAAGTTAAAACCTCCAACCAACCTCGCCCCTGTGCAACGTCGGTCGCCTCACCAAACCCCCGGCCCCATCCTATCTCCGTCATTCTTCCACACCCCCACACAATCTCTGTAATAAGAAGAATACGAGCACATAAGAAGATAAGAAGATAAGAATGAAGGAAAAAAGGAACATGCGAATAAAATAATATAAGAATCGTTCAAAATGAAACCTACGCTGGAAGGCCCTAGCAGCTGCACCTCCCTCAGGTTAGGGTTGAGGATTTAGGGTTTCGGGTTTCGGGTTTAGGGCTGAGAGCCACATACAAACCCCAAGCCCTGAACTTGAAAAAGAAACCGAGCCGACGCAGAGCCAGTAAGTTCGGGGCGAGGTTCTGGCCCCAGCATGCTCAGGATTTAGGGTTTAGGGTTTAGGGTTTAGGGTTTAGGGCTTAGGGTTTAGGGTTTAGGGTGTTCAGGGTTCAGGGTTTAGGGCTTAGGATCCCCGTCTCTTGAGGCTCTCCAGGATCCTGCCAGGCCGGTCAGGGCCAGGGCCGGTGGGCTTCGGGCTTAGGGCTTTGGTTTCGGTTCCTCAGTTTAGGGTTCAGGGGATATAGCAAGCATTTACAGGATGTGGGATGAGCTGCTACGTATACCTCCCCCCCCCCCCCCAATACCCCCTATGCCCCCACCCGTCCCCCTCTCAGTCACTGCACAGGAGGCAGTCACCCTGTCCACAACACTCCGAATCTGGCCAAGCCCTTTTTGCTGGGCAAGTGTTTGATCTCTCCTTTTTTCTGTTTTCGCTTCCAAAGGTTCTTGCGGTTCTTGTCAGAAGAAGTTAAGTCAAGCTGTGGTGCTATGGAGGCACCTCCTAAACCCTAAACACTCAACCCTCACCCGTACGATAGCTTGGTAGCCCAGTGGTACCCTTTTTCCTTTTTTTGGTTCAAGGCCCCCCTTACAACAACCCGAGCAAGGGTACCCTGAAAATGTGGCCACTCGGGATAGATGAACCCCTGAACCCCCACAAAAAACACAACCGCCCCCAGAGACAGCCGACGACTTGGTGGCTTGCTGTCCAAGACGATCGGTTCAGGGCTTTCCGGGTTTCGGGTTCGGGGGGTACAGGGTTGATGGCCAAGACTAAGACCCCAAACCCTAACCCCGAAGCCCTAAGCCCTTTGCCCTAAGCCCTAAGCCCTAAGCCCTAAACCCTAAACCCTAAACCCTAAACCCCAAACCCCACACCCAAAGCCCCAAAGCCATCGCACAGGCTGGACTCCGGAAGCGCGCTTGATGGTGTTGGACGGATCTGGGGCCTCGTCTGGGGAGGCCATCGGAGGGAGGGTTTAGGGTTTAGGGTTGAGGGTTTAGGGTTTAGGGTTTAGGGTTTAGGGTTAGGAGAGTTGAGAAAGAACCAGGCATGTCTCTTTGGGGCGTCGAAGCTTGTAGGCTTTTGCCCCAAAACCCCAAAACCCTACACCCCCAGCAACGTTCGAGAGATTGCCTTGAAGCTCCGGCTGAGGGACTTTGATTGGAGGCTCGTGGTGTTGGGAGGATGTTGGGTGTAGCAGCGCAGCCTTGTTCGCTGTCGACCGACTCTCTGGTGCGGGGTCGAAGGGGAACATGTGGACTGTCACGAGGTGCTCGGGTTTAGGGCTCGAAGTTTCGGGTCTAGGGCGTAGAGGTTGAGGGTTTACGGGTTTAGGGTTCCGGGGCTTAGGGGGTTCAGGCTTTTAGGGGTTCAGGGGTTAAGGTAGGGGAGTGGCTTTCCGAGGACGTCGACTTCCAAAAGCTAATCGACTTCTTGATGCGCCCGGCGTAACTGCCAGAAAGGCCCGGCCACCCTGTGCTTCAGGTTAGTTTCGGAGGCGTTGGAGGGTTCAAGGTGCTAAACCCTAAGCCATAAGCTCTAAGCCTTAAGCCCGAAACCCTAAAGCCCAAAACCCAGAACCAGTTGAGGCTGGGTTGAGGGTTCTTCCCCTGTGCGATCTTGAGCCGCAGTGCACGAGCTTCAGCTCTGGCAGCTCTGTCCCCAGGTTCTTAGCAGGGAATGAGGAGGAACATAAGGTGCCGATGGGGAACTAGAACGCGCACCCCGAGCGCCTTAAACCGCCCCGGCCACGAGTCTAACGGCGCCAGCTGAGGCGCGGAGGACACCAGCATGTGATGCTGCTTTAGGATCCACTCTTGACCTGAGGCCACGTCCAAGATGTCGTCCGCAGTGTCTCGTTTAAAGGCTCTGTCCCAAGACGAGCTTTATGTGATAGGCCAGCATAGGAGAGCTTAACAGGGCACAGGATTAAGGGTTTTCGGGGGTTCGAGACTTGGGGTTCATATTGTGATAGTCGATGGCGCAGAGAGTGAGGACCATTTTGCCATCCAAGAGAGCTTGCAAGAGGTTGCCGAGGTTGCCGTTCACTCCTTCGGAGAAGGGGCTGTGGGGCAGTCTGCTGCCGACTTCCTGTTTGGAACAGAGGCCGGGAAAGAAGCCATTCAACACCCCTCGGCGTAGGCTTGGAATTTTAGGATCCTTTTTGGGTACAGCACCCTTCCTGCCCTCCCGCTTCCGCTGTCCCCCTTCCCCTCTCCCCACCCTCCCTCACGCTCCCCTGCGTATTGGGGGTACAGCGAGTTTCAAAAAACTCTCATGTTGTCCATTCCTCTTGAGCCTAAAGACGACTCCCACGACGGCCTAGTCACCGACGCTCTATTAAGTGACTCTGGATGTCGGGGAAGAGGCTACTGGCGCCCAGAGTAGACTAACTGCAGGGCCACCCTGAGCCTAAAGACCTTGGTGCATCGCCGCAGCAAATCCAAGCATCAAGCTTCAACGAAGCTATTTTCTGGCTTGGATACCGCACGACGTTCCCGCAGAGCTGCCCAGCTGCATCTGAGCGGCCGCCTAAACCCGAAGCCTTCCACTCCTGAGAGCCCCTCACCCTAAATCCGAAGCTTATGAACCGCACTTTCAGCCCGCAACCCTGAAGATGTTGGCTCCATGATCCTCGACAGGGACTTGCTGGGTCTGGGGTGGAGGAAGCCTCCAGTCTCGATCCTCACTAAATTTTCCCTTGTGTGCCGAACCCTAAACCCTAAACCCTAAACTCCCTAAACCCTAAAGCCTAAACCCTACACCCTAAACCCTAAACCCTAAACCCTAAACCCTAAACCCTAGGGTGTAGTGTTGTTTCTAGGCCTAAGCCCTAAACTGCCCCCCCCTCTCTCTTTCAAGGACCATGCTGATCTTTCAGATTGGCACCAACAACTGGCAGCGTCAGGAGGAGCCATCCCACAGGTTGGCCGTACCGGCTCCCTCAACGAACGGAACGCTTAAGAACTTGAAAGAGGGTTTAGGGTTTAGGGTTTAGGGTTTAGGGTTTAGGGAGCGGGGTGTCCAGATGTGGGCTTCCCAAAGTTAGGAGTACTCTGTATTGGGGCATTCCTAACGGGTCCGATAATTGCCGAGGCGGCAACACGGGGTTCATAGCCACAGATGAAGGAAAGTCGCGTCCTGGGCCATTTGGGAGGCAGGGTGGCCCTAGGAGTGTCGGAGGGGGGGTGGCCCAAAGTGAAGGACAGGTCTGGGCAGAAGGAGTACAGCATTTTAGGGGCGCGTTGAAGAAGTGCCCTGTTTTGGGAAGTGCCCTCCATGGTCACAGCTTGGGGATTCAAAGGGTAGGAGCCCCAAAGCTTCAGATGCTCTACCCTCAACGCAGCTTGAGCACTTTCCGGAGTCTTGGGAGTTCATGGGTTGATATGGGAGTTAGCGGCCCTGAACAATCACCATCTAACCACTACCCGAAAGCCTGAGGGTCGACTTCGTCGGAACTCCTCCGGCCTCGTCTCAGTATCCGTGCACCTCTTCTGCTTTGGGCCGTTAGGGTGCGCCCGAAACCCGAAACCCCAAGCCCCAAACCCTAGACCAACGCATGCTCAGGGCTTAGGATTGGGCACCCGCACCAGCAGCCAGGAGTTTGCCCCGGGCAGTGGCATCCTTCACGCGTCCTTCCACGAGAGCATGCGCCTCTGGCAGAAGGTTAAAGGGTTTGATTTGGGATGTCCTTATACTATACTAACAGTCCTGAATAAGGATTCTAATCGGGGGTACTATCATCATCCCTAGCAAGGACTGCTAGTATAAGGTTTGATGGCTTGGGGCTTTCCGGCTCAGGCCTGGCACCCAGGGAGTTCTGGTCACTTTGAAGCCCGAAGCACAACCTCCAAAACCCGCCTGAAGCGAGGGGACTCCTTACACCCCAACTTTAAGATCCCCAGACGCCCAACTGTACATTGCCCTAAACCCTAAACCCTACCACCCTAGCACCCTAAGACCCTAAGACCCTGAGACCCTAAGAAGCCAAAAAACCTAAAAACCTAAAAACCTAACACCCTAAACCCTAATCCCTAAACCCACACCCTGAACCCTAAGCCCCAAGCCCTGAGCCTGAACTCGCAACCCTATGCCCCAGGAACAGCATGGAAGGCGTGAAGAGCTACTCCATCTACCCGAGCCGCTCTGCGGTCCTAGGGTTCAAGGGAGGGCATACCCCCTCAGCCTGAAAGTTGAACAGGGTTTACTGGTTTAGGGTTTGGGATGTAGGGTTTAGGGTTTGGGGTCTGGGGTTTAGGGTTTAGGGTTTGGGGTTTAGGGTTTAGGGTTTGGGGGGCCCTAAGCGTCAACCTGAAACGAAGATTCGCCCCCCTGCCGAGGCAAGAGGCAGACCAATCCAGAGGACGACCCCACGTTTCGCATCTTCAAGTTCGCCGGGCTGGCTTTGGGGGGAGCTTCTGTTTGTTGGGGGCTTCAGAGTCCCCCCTAAACATCATGGGATCTGGTCGGGCAGCGCCGGCAGTAGCCAGGATTTAGGAAAACCCTAAACCCTGAACCCTGAACCCTAAACCCTAAGCCCTAAACCCTAAACCCTAAACCCTAAGCCCTAAACCCTAAACCCTAAGCCCTAAACCCTAAACCCTAAACCGGAAAAGGTGGGCTCCAATTCGTGCGCGGAGATGCCGGCCCACACCATGCCAGTAAGCCCTTAGCCCTCAACCCTAAAGTCATGGGTTCCCCTGCTACTCCCCTCTATACTCCCACTCCCTAGGTTCCCCCTTAAAAAAACCTTAAGCAGGCCTCCTTATCCCTAAATCGCCTTAATAAGAGGGGGGTGGTAGGGGAGCCCATGATAAAGCTGCTGGCTCGCATGCTTTTCTAAGAAAGGGCTCCGAAGTTTGCTCGGAAATGCCGACGTGCAGCACTCGGGAAGAGGGCTGGGTCCCAAGAAGAAGAACAGGCGGCTCGAAACACTGCCGGCGCGCGGCGCTGTCGGAACCTGGTTCCCTTTACCCTCTTTTGGGTTCGGGGTTCCCTTATCAAGTAACCAACCAAAAAAAACGGGTGCCCTTTTCTCTCTCATAGGTATGGTTATACTGGGCTACTAAGGGAAGAAGGCCGGTTGCAAAAGTGCGCCCGAGCCTCGTCCCCGGGCTGGCGATGCTCCTGATGGGAAAACCGCGGCATCCACGGCACCCACCCACCCATGCCATGCTATGAACATGCACATGCGCTCAGATTGGACCCTCGGTAATGTTACCATATCCCCCTTGGGACTTGTTTTTGTTTATACTCTGCCCAAGAGGATATCAAAAATATTGTTTTTATTCAGGTTCTAAGGGGAGTATAGGGTAGACAAAGTCCCGTGCCAGGCTGGAACACGACATCCCCATCTGCGAGTCAGTGAGCCCCAACTCGCAGCTTGGCTTCAGGGGGTTTAATACTCCCTTATGGTCCCTACATAACTATGCTATAACATCCCCCAACACCCTGTTCTTATTTTCAAGGCCCCCTACGTTAGGTTGACTGTTTGGGGTTTGGGGGTTGAGTATCTCAAGTTTGAGCTTTGGGGTCATGTGCGCCAGAAACCCTAAACCCAAAACCCTAAACCCAAAACCCTAAACCCTAAGCCCAAAACCCAAAACCCTAAGCCCAGAACCCTAAACCCAAAACCCAAAACCCAAAACCCTAAACCCTAAACCCTAAACCCATAAACCCATAAACCCATAAACCCATAAACCCATAAACCCATAAACCCATAAACCCATAAACCCATAAACCCATAAACCCATAAACCCATAAACCCATAAACCCATAAACCCATAAACCCATAAACCCATAACCCAGAAGCCAGCATCTCGGGAGCCAGCTGTCGGGGTCAAACCTTTGTGGTACTTTACCGTAACTTTAGATCCTTACCCTTTTTGGGTTCATTGGGTTTCTTAATAGGGCAGCTGAAAGTTAAATTTATAGCTACCCTCCTGAGTGCAGCCAAGAAACGTGGGTCTGGGCCTCACGTTTTGAGATTGGGCCTTCGTCAGGGTTGTCCCTAAACCTTGCACCCCAAGAAGCCCTAAGACCCTAAACCCTTAAACCCCAAAGTCCCCAACCCTAAGCCCTAAAGCATAAACCCTAAACCCTAAACCCTAAACCCTCAACCCTCAACCCTAAACCCTAAACCCTAAACCCTACGGGTGGTGGAGTTCAAGGGTCTAACGAGGGGTTGATGCCGAGGTCCTACCGGTGGCATTCCATGACCGAGGAGAAGACTCCTGAACGGTTTAATCATCGTTACATAAACACCCAAACTCAAACCCTAAACTCCTAACCCCCAAACTCCTAAACTCTTAACTCCCAGCCTCGTGCCTCAGGGTTACTAGCATACCCCTGACGCGGCTGCAGTGAATTCTTGGGAAATCGGGGTTTTTGGCTGTGGACACCGCCCAAAAACCCGATGCCCTGAAGCGGCTCAATTCATCGTAAGAGGCATGTGATGAGGCCCCTTGGGCCTGAAGGCCTCGGCGGATTGACCAGTTTAGGGTCTGGGTTTGGGGTTTAGGGTTTAGGGGTTAGGGTTCAACTTTCAAACTGTGCCTCGTGAGCCGGAGGATCAGTACGACGCCTACCTCAAGCGCCTCGAAAATGAGGTCTGCGCCTTCATGGATGAGGCCGCCTGAGCTCTGGGTGCCCTTCCGGTCCTCGTAGGCCCCCTAGGTCGTTTGGCGGCCCTAAACCCTAAACCCTAAACCCTAAACCCTAAACCCTAAACCCTAAACCCTAAACCCTAAACCCTAAACCCTAAACCCTAAACCCTAAACCCTAAACCCTAAACCCTAAACCCTATTTCCTAAACCTTGACATGATTGACGTGGTAGGTCGAGGCGAAGGAGGGAAAAGAGTTTGACTTTCTCATCTCCCACCATGCCTTCACCAATGCCATGACGGCTGCACAGATCGTCCAGAGAAGGCATCTTTGCCCGTGGGGTGAGTGGGGTTTAGGGTTTAGGGTTTCGGGTTTAGGGTCTAGGGTTTGGGGTTTGGGGTTTAGGGTTTAGGGTTTAGGACAATCCAGCTGAAGGTTCCGATCTCCTCCCCCCAAGGCTGTTGTTGAGAGCAGCAGGCTGGGCAACTAAGGCACAAGGAGGGCAAGACCAAGCTCAAGCACTTCAATTTTGTGCACGGGACAGCGCTCAAGATGTACATCAAGGATGTGAGATCAGAGCCGAAACTCTGGTGCCCTAAAGTTCTAAAGCCCTGAATTCGCCAGAGGGGTCCAGGTTTAGGGTTTAGGGTTTAGGGTTTAGGGTTCAGGGTTCAGGGTTCAGGGTTTAGGATGTCGACTCTGGGGTCCAAGTAGGGGTTTCCCGAAGGAGAAAGAGGGTGACCCCGAGTATCCGATGCGCTTCCTCACCAAGTGCCGGGGCAGCGGCGTCTTCGATGGCATTGCCAACACGAAGGGTGTTTGGGTGAACTCGGAGGACGCGATGCCAACTGCACCATCCCATATGCCAGAGAGAGGAGTTAGGCTTCGGGCCCGGGTGTACGGGTGCATGGGGTGAAACCCTAAATCCAAAACGCTAAGCCCTAAACCCTAAACCCTAAACCCTAGACCCGAGACCCTTCAGTTGTATCTGCATCTACTGACCACTGAGCCTCACAAGGGCGCTGCTTGGAGGACTACATCGGCAAGTTCCTAGACTGCTTCCCGGAGTACCCCAAGGAGAGGTGTGTCTTCTCCCGCATCGGCGTGAATCAGAAGCTCGGTAGCTTTCAGGGTTTAGGGTTTAGGGTTTAGGGTTGGTTCAAGGTTCCCTTGCAAAGTAACCAACCCCAACAAGGGGTGCCCTTATCATAATGTGGTTTCTGGGCTACCAAGGAAGACCTTCTGCCCAAAGGGCACGTCGGTGTCCAGCGATCTCGCCCAGCATGCAAGGGAAGAGGACTGCCAGCACCATACTTCACGACACTTGAGTCGGGACGTAGGGTTTAGGGTTTAGGGTTTAGGCTTCAGGGTTTAGGGTTTAGGGTTTAGGGTTTTGGGTTTCGGGTTTAGGGTTTAGGGTTTAGGGTTTGTGTCAAAATGCCAAGGTTCTCCCTGTAGACCCTAAACTCCCTAAACTCTGCTAAGCCCTAAGCCCCTAGACATCCCTAAGCCCCAAAGTCTACGCTCCCTATAGGCTAGGCTCTTGAACTCTTCTTCCGCACCCTTTGGAGGACAGGGACAAGGTTGCGAGCATGAAGCGCCTAGCACCCCGCTTTGCTTCTGGTACGTTTTTGTTGGGCGTTTGGGGGTGTAGGGTGTAGGGTTTAGGGTTTCAGGGTTTTGTGCCTCGGGTTTGGCACCTTTTTGGGACTTTTGGGGGTGTGGGTTTCCGGGCATTTGGGGGGGTTCTAGTCTCGTATTGGTGCTTAGTGTTCAGGTAGTAGATGCTGGCCGGGGAGGATGCAACACATCCTGGGAGTACAATTAACGCTTTCCTCGAGAGAAAGGGCCGGTACCCTAATTTCGCATCGCGAACCGACTGGGATCGAACAAGGTTTTCGTTTAGGGTGTAGTTCGCCCTGACATGAGTTCTCCGAACCCCCAAGCCCTGAAGTCATTGCTCACGGGCGGGACCATGATACTTCAAAGGCCAACGGCGTAAAAAAGTTCCTGTAGCGATCTTCAAGAGCCAGCCACAGGTGACCTTTGTTGGGAAGTTCGCAGACTGGAAGCGTCTGGATGCCGTCCTCTATGCTGCCCAGGAGCCTGGAGCCCCAAAAACGCCGCCCAGAATCCCTTCTGCCCTAAACTCTCTAGAGCCTTACGATATTCCCCTTATACGAACAGTCCTGGATAAGGATTGCAATAGAGGGTACTATAATCCCTTTCAGGAGTATTAGTATGAGGGGGAACATCCCAATCTAAGCCCCTTGAACTTCCAAACGCCTTCAAGGTTTGGGATCTCCGGGGTTTCCAGGAAGCCAACCATGACAGGCGTGTGGCAGCGGGGGTCACTGTGAGTACTTGTGTGGTCCAGCGCAGCCGAGAGGGTTTAGCATGTAGGTCTTATGGGAGTTTGGGGCTCTGCCTATTTTGCGAGGAGTATGAGGCCAAGTTTCCGGATTTGGGCACTGCGGTGGTGGGCACAGGCCCGGCAGACGCCATCGAGAATCTGGACATGCACAGCCCTAACCCGTGAACCCCTTGAAGCCAACCCTATGGGTCCTCTACAAGAAAGCCCCGAAGTCCTAGGGCCAATGCAGGGTTTAGGGTTGGCAAGCGCAGGCTTGGACCAGCCATGATACCTTGAGGAGCAAGGTCCTAGGGCTGGGGCCAAGGCCCGCACAAAACCCTGAGGCCTCAAAGCCTGGGTGGGCCAGTGGTACCCTTTTGCTCTCTCTCTCTCTCTCTTTTTTAGTTCAAGGTTCATAACCCAATCCCAACAAGGGTACCCTTATTGGGACATGGTTACTGGGCTACTTAGAAGCCCCTAAACCCTAAACCTTAACCCTAAACCCTAAACCCTAAACCCCAAACCCTAAACCCCAAACCCAAAACCCCAAACCCTAAACCCCAAACCCTAAACCCTAAACCCTAAAACCTGGCGCCTTGTTCCCCAAACCGAGGAAGTACGAGGGCCTGGCCAAAAGTCTCGGCCTTCAGCGCACCGTCTTCCTGGGACCGAAAGGTCGGGTATGTAGGGTTTAGGGTGTAGGGTGTAGGGTGCAGGGTGCAGGGTGTAGGGTGTAGGGTGTAGGGTGTGGGGTTTAGGGTTTAGGGTTTAGGGTTTAGGCTTTAGGGTTTAGGTTTAGGGTTTAGGGTTTAGGGTTTAGAGTTTAGGGGTTCGGGGTTTAGGGTTGAGGGGGGGGCAGCTTTTGGGCCTGAAGATCCCGAAAAGCCTGCTTTTCCACAAGCCCCGGCGCGATCATGCGCGATCGGGCCAAAAATCACCAGGAGCCAGGACTCTGAGATCCCAACACTCAAGCCTTCATTCTGGCGTAGATTTGGGAGGTTCCCCCTTATGCTAACAGTCCCTAGTAGGGATTATGGGGGGGGTACTAGAATCCCTGCTAAGGACTGAATCAGTATAAGGGGGAACATCCCAAGTATAGATTCTAGATGCAGAGGTGAAAGGTTCTAGATGTCAAGGGGCCGGAAGCATCTGCAGAGTTGCCCTTGAAAACCCAAGCATGAGGTCAACGCGGTCTACGTCTTTCCGGTTTAAGCAGAGTCCCTCCTGGGCCCCCTGCTAAGACCTAAGCCCTGAACCGCTTTTTTTTTTTTTTAAATTCTAAACCTTAAGCCCGAAGCCTCTACACCCTTTGGCCGCCATTGGGCTCGGGATATTAAAGACTTGCAGAGAACAAAAGGCCCTAAAACCCTAAAATCCCAAACCCGATCCACAAAACCCTAAACCCTAAAATCATAAAACCCTAAACCGCAAAACACGACCCTTCAGGCCAGGATGTGCTAGCGCAACTCTTCTCGATGTCGGAGGTCGGCATGTTCCCGTCCTACAAGGAGCTTCTCTTGCTGGTTCTCAGGGTTTAGGGTTGAGGGTTTAGGGTTCAGGGTTGCATTTTCATCAGCATGTATCTCAGGGTTAATAAAGGGGGGGGGGAGAATTTCCAAAACCCGAAGCCCCCAAGACCCGAAGACCCCGAACCCGGAGCGCCAAGACCCTTGACCCTAAACCCTATAAACCCTAAACTCCAAAAGCCCTAGGACCCTTAGACCCTCAACCCAAAACCTAAACCCTATAAATCCTACCAAAAACCCTAAGCCCTACAACCCCTAAACCCTAAGCCCTAAGCCCTAAACCAAGACCCCAAGACGCTCCTCTCCAGGAGCCCTTTGGCATGGTCTTCATCGAGTGCATGGCCTGCGGCTGCCCAACCGTCGGCGCCAACAGCGGGGGGCCCACGGAGCCTTGGGGAGTTTAGGGTTTAGGGTTAGGGTTTAGGGTTTAGAGTTTAGGGTTTAGGGTTTAGGGTTTAGGAGTTTAGGGTTTAGGGTTTAGGGGCACTGGAGCCAGCGATGTTGGCCTCCCGAGTTTCGGGTTTAGGGTTTATGTAGTACATATATAAATCTGCGGGTTTACGATGATAAGGGACCCCGAAAATAGATCCCCGAACAGTAGGATCCCCTTATAATACGGACCCCAATAAGGTACCCCCAATTTCGGAACCCCCCCATGCATAATATATATATATATATATATATGTAATATATATATATATATATATATTACATTATATATATATATACACATACATACATGCATACATACATACATACATACATACATATGCTTGTAGGGTCAGGGTTGGGTCAAGTTGGGTCTGCCCTCGACCCGAGCAAGCCGAGGAGTTCGTGAAGCCGGAGCAGGGCGTCCTAGTCGAGGAGGAGGACGACTGGAGGCCACGGATCCGAAGGGTTTAGGGTTTCGGGTTTAGGGTTTCGGGTTTCGGGTTTAGGGTTTGGGGTTTGGGGTTTATGGTTTCGGGTTTAGGGTTTTAGGAGACCCGAAGCCTTTGCCTAAGGTTTTGGAGCTTCAGAGTTTCGGGCTTATCAGGGATAAAAGACATCGGTGTCGGCTGTCTGTGTTTAGATCTTTGGAGTTGCATGTACCTGCACCCCCCAACTACCCTTTAATAGAGGGGACTTTTGTACCCTACCATGATGCTTAAAGGGTGGTTGGTTGCACAATGAGGGCTCCCCAGCACCCACCCGAAGTTCAGCACGGGTTTCGGGTGGCATTCGGGCTTAGGGTTTAGGGTTTGGGGTTTGGGGTTTAGGGTTTAGGGTTTAGGGTTTAGGGCTTAGAAACGGGTCTTGGGCTTGGGGTCTAGGTTTCCCTGGGAGCCTGGGGCAGGTCTGAGGAGGGCGCCAGGAGACTCGGGTCCAAGGTGGCCGCGCAGGTCGGGCCTGGGAAGAGGGGGACTTCGGGTCTGAGGGCTTCACGGTTGAGCCGAAGCCCTCAACCCGAAACCTGTTTGGGCTTGGGTTTAGGGTTTAGGGTTTAGGGTTTGGGGTTTGGGGTTTGGGGTTTAGAGTTTAGGGTTTAGGGTTTAGGGGTTGATGTTTTTTCTGGTGAAGCCTGTGCAGGGTTTGGAGCTCAAGTTTGTCTTGGTGAGAGCTTGGGTTTTGGGCTGTTGCTGCGGGTTTAGCAGGGTTCAGGTGCTAGGGTTAACGAAAGGTCTATGAATCTATAGGGTGTCTAAGGTCCCCAGCTCCCAAACTAGCACTAAGGAAGTGAACATAGGTACGATTACATGTCCCTAAGTCGAGGCTTGGAAGGTTAACCTAGGGTTTCGGTATACCAGCACCCCCCAACTACTCTTCAACCAGAATGGTAGGGTACATGTGTCCGGGTGCAGGTAGGTGGGCCTCTACTAGGTCTAAACCCTAAACCCTAAACCCTAAACCCTCAACCCTCAACCCTCAACCCTCAACCCTCAACCTCAACCCTCAACCCTCAACCCTCAACCCTCAACCCTCAACCCTCAACCCTCAACCCTAAATCCTAAATCCTAAATCCTAAACCCTAAGCCCTAAACCCTAAAAACCCCAATCCTTTGCCGTTTGCAGGATTTAGGTCCGTTTGCAGGATTTAGGTCTTATAGGGTTTAGTAAGGTGGGGATCTTAAGGTAGTTACATGGGCCCTTAATATGGGTCCTTAAAAGGGGACCCCCCCCCCCCCCCCCTTGTATACCATCTATATACCCTATGCAACCCAAGGGCCCATACATCAGAACCCGTTAAACGAGGGTAAGGACCAAATTTGAGGGCCCATGAAACTACCCTTAGACGGGATATCAAACATGGTGGGGGCTTGGTGCAAGTTTCCGAAGACCGGCTGCCCTGTAAAAGTCGGCAGGTCACCAAGGCTATCGAGGAGGACCCTTGGCACAGGGCTTAGGGTTTTTAGGGCTTTAGGGTTTAGGGGGTTAGGATTTCAGGCAGTGTTGCCCTCAACCCTCAGCCCCAAACTCGGGCCGAGTCCCGAAAGGGGGAGTAAAAGCGCCGAGAATGGCCCCTAGAATCGGCGGCGCGCTTCCGTCTCCGTGCCCACCTCTTATCACCTCCCTGGTGTCTCTGCAGCCTAGACCCTTGCTTGGGGAGAAACCCGCATCAAGCGCTGAAATGGTTGAGTCTGGCGGTTGAGATCAGGATCTGGGAGTTTGAGGGAAGTCTGTGAAACTGGAGTTCAGCCCCAATCTCCTGCCCCCAACCTCAACCCCCTTCCTCAGCCTTCTCCCCCCTCACGTTTTAGTGTGATTGGAGTGGCCAAGCGATGGGAAGCCCAGTTGACGAAACTGCATCCGATATTCTACTATTGGCTTAAGAACCCACAAAAAAACAAAGAATAGATTCTTCCTTATAAGGGCAATATAGGGATGTTTTTTTTTTTAGGGGTTCTTAAGCAAATCGTAGCACTCCAGCGAACCCTGAAAAGGACTGGAAGAAGACCAAGGGCCCCGGCTGCGTAGAGTTCGTCGCCAAGAACTTCTCCACGGTGGCGCAGGCTCGTGGGGTCTAAGCCCCTCCAGCCGAAGGGCATCCCTAAACCCAAACCCTAAGCCCTAACCCTCAACCCTAAACCACCCTAAGCCCTAGGCCCTAGGTCCCAAGCCCTAAGCCCCAAGCCCTAAGCCCTCTCAGGGTTTGCGGTGCTTGGGTGCTTGGGGATGGAGTAGGTTTGGGCTTCCCCGCGGGGGCGAAGGACTGCCCTCAAAGGTGCGAAAGCAGCCAATCCCCCAATGACTACCCTTTTTTGCCAGTATGGTTGCAATATGGTTACCGGGCTACCAAGTAGCCTTTAGGGCAAACCCCCTCCGTGCTATGGAGCCCCGTTCTTCCTAGGCTGTCACTTGCAAGGTCCAGTCTAGCCTGTGAGTGGCAGCAGACGGCACCCGAGATGGCCAGACGGGGAGTTTCGGTCGCTGGGAGGTTGCCGGAAGGGTTCAAGGTTGCAGGGGCAGCGCACCCCGAATTCGTCAGGTGGAGGGCATGCTGGCCAACATGAAGGAGTGGTCGAAGGAGTGATGGAGGTGATACGTTGAAAGGCAGCGGCCGCGGCCGAAAAAAAAACACAAAGCTCCTAACGGAGTTACACGACTTCAGTTTCATATCTAGGTCGTGTTTTTCGCTAGCACCGCTGCAGTGGATCTGCAGTGTGTGCTTGATCACTTCACGAGCGGCAAAGGTGCTCAAAACGGAGCCTCCCCCTGCATGGTATGATTCAACAGTAGCTGGGAACGTAGAATCGTTGTGTAGCTCTTGGTACACCATTCAAGCATGTTGCTGGCATAGGACGTCAGGGGCGTGCGGGGGCTCAGTCAGTTCCAAGAATTGTTGAGTTCCATTGGTATTCAGCAGTAGTCACGTAGCATCATGCCGATTATCTACATAGCCACGGGCCCCGGAGATCACGAAGCCTGCATGCCGCCACTTCGGGCTCAAACAGTCGCGATTGTCCTCCATCCAAGTCGGTGTCTCGAGGCCCCGGGCATTCCAGTGTGGCGTCGACCCAATGCAGCGTTGCTTTGTCACAGTGGGGTAACATTTTAGATGTTTGAGGGCACTTCAACTCTAAGGAACAGCAACTTAAAACCTTTAATCCTATCCCGACCATGAACTAGGTTGGGTCTTCCTCGTCACGTTTGCGCTGCCCCTGGTGAAGGGGCAGTGCCAGGACTCGGAGAGCTGTGCCTTGATTTCCCCTTGGCTCTTTGCTTACTTTGCTCCCTTGCGGCCGTCTGGTTCCGTGAGCGGCTTTAAGGGGTGTACACTGCCTGCACCCCCACAACCACCCTTGAATGAAGGGAACTTTTTGACCCTACCATCATGGGTAGTTGGGGGCTGCACACCCTAAACTCTAAACCCTAAACCCTAAACCCCAAAAGAGAGCCGAGGTGCCGAGGACGCCTCGTTGCTCCAGCGCCTCCGCGAGACGCACGCGCTGTCGGAGGGCCTGAACAGCAGCTTACACGACCAGATCCTGAAGGACTTCGGAAGTGCCCGGCTCATGGCCACCAAGCAGACCCTTGGCTTTGCCCAAACAGAGCCTTGTGGTGTTACCGGCCGTTTTCTTTTGTACTTGGCTGGAGGGGCATGGCATTGCATGTCTTGATGTCTTGGGTGTTGAAAAGAATTCGGAGGCTTATGTCCAACTCCAACTTCTGGAAGTGCATCACCGACCAAAGCTGCGCGGACAAGCGGCCCACGATGTGGTTCTCGCTGCTGCACCCCAACGTCCCGCAGAAGCTCCTGGCCAAGAACGGCCCCTTGGGCCTCCTCGCTCGAACGGACACGTGGTGGGACCATGTGCCCACAAAAGGGAACTTGGAGTGGAATGACTACTGGACTTGTGGCAACATCGGGCTGAAGAACCCGATGTTCCGCAGCCCGAGCGCGTTTCACGCTGCAATCCTGGACACGGTGAAGACAGGTGCTGCGCACAAACGCGACTGCGTGGCAGGCAACAAGTGCCCCCCGTTCCACAAGTACAGCTGTGGCGAGATTGTTGGAGTTAAGCCCCAGAAGGCGGATGTCGGGCCGAGAAATTTCTGCTTGCTGTTGGGGATGCCTAGCAAGTTTGATCTGGGGCGGGGCTGGATACGTACCGACCTTCATCCGCAAATCCCCAGCCTTGTCTTACTTGGGGGGCTTCCAGACCTCGAACGCCCCCTCGCAAAGAGAAACCGTAAACCCTACGCCCTGAAGCGCAAATCCCCAGGCCCTAATCCCAACTCTACCCTCAACCCTAAATCCTGGACCCTATAGAAGCCCTGACAACAGACGATGCCAAAAGAGCGGGTTTGGGTGGAGCACATGGAGGTGCGCGCAATCACCGGAAAGCTGGAGCAAGGAGCCCGGGATTGAGATTGGGGGTTCTGGCTTTCTGGCTGAGTAGATAACTCTTAGGTTTTTTGGAAAGAAAAGCCATACCGAATACGACCTCCAAGGATCGAAACCTTGCAAGCCCCCTCCGCCTTGGGGTTCTAAGCCCAAGCCTCACGTCCTCCCGCCCCCTCGCCCGCCAGAGGAAATCCGGGCAGGATCAACTTTGACGACCCTCGCATCTACCAGTGGCAGGCTGGGCCTCTCACATAGGAGCCGACTTCCATGGCTCAACTCGCACCACCTGGGCATGGGAGGGTGGGCTGCTCTTCATCGTAATCCCCAAGCGCCCTGAGCCTCAGGCCCTAAACTCTAAACTCTCCACCCTCAACCCAACAGAGAGGCCCTTGTTGGAGCCCCGGCCAGGACGACAGGATGTGGGAAGGTGAGCAGAAGTGGCCGCAGGATCCCTTCGTGGCCGGCTTCTACGATCCTCAGCAAAAAAAGAAGGCGTTGTGGGACTTTTAGTCTCGCAGGTTTAGGGTTTAGGGTTTAGGGGTTGAGGGTTGAGGGTTGAGGGTTTAGGGTTTAGGGTTTAGGCTTAGGGTTTAGGGTTGATAGCTTTAGGGTTCAGGGTTCTTCGACACCCCTTCCCAACCTACCGCCCCCCAACACGACAGCTCAGCGAAGAAAAGCCCTGCCGTTGCTTGGTTGCTCCTTCAAACGTCTCATGTCCCCCGGCGAGAGGGCGAAGTCCTCCGGACCCGGCTTGGGCCGCAAACGGACATGCGCCATTCAGTCTTCCAAAACCCTAAAACCCGAATCATGCCTCTTTGACTCAGGACTTCATGGGACAGCGCAAGGGCTTCACACCCAAGGAAGAGGCCCGCGCGCGTGCGCGCGCGCGTGCGCGCGCGCGCGGGCGCGTGCGCGGGGGCTGAGGGCTGGGCAGCGTTCTGAAGTTCGCCTCCCCTCGTAAGTACGCCAACTCAATGTAAATTTGCTTGTCAAAGTTCAAGCAGACCCGCTGCCAGGCCCTCCGAGGGAATGATTTCTTGCTGCTGAACCTTGGCTTGAAAGGGAGGCAGTTTTTTTTT